AAACGTCACCTTTTCCGTGAAATTGCAAAATTACCCTCTCACTCCAGCAGAATTCATCACTGATTCCTCCGGGCCCCATACTATTAAGACTGTATTTCTATCACAGCATTTATTACATTATATGAGTTAATTGTGTCTGTCTGCTCTGCTAAACTATCAACTTCTCAGTAAGTGTAACTATTTTTTATGTCATCTTGAATCTCCAGAGCAGAGCACAATGCCTGGTCCCTAAGTAGGTGTTCATTAAATGCTCCCTAAATTAATTAAGACCAAAGCTATCCTGCTTCCCTCCTCCATCTACTCTTCCCCTCCGTGCCATCTGGATAGATTCTTACCCAGTTCCATTTGAGAATGTTTTTAATAGGCCTCAGAGAACCAAATCTCTTCCTTTCTTCTTTGTGATCTCCCTTGGATGGAGGGCCCTCTTGGGACCCAGCCCACAAGGTACTGTTGCAACTCACATGGGCTAACTGCTTTTCCTGTCACCCGTTACTATGCCTCAGATGGCCTAATCACACCGAATATGTGGCCCTCCCACCCTAACACTGAAGCAACTGTGGCTAAAAAACAAAGTTGTCTGAATTTTCAGTTGATGTTAAGTGTTTAAAAAACTTTGGGTCGTTATTTCTATTAATTCCTAAACTTGAGAAACAAGTTAAAAAAAAAAAAATCATACCACCAGAGCTAAAGGACACTCTGAAAATGTACCCACTGCCTCTAAACAGGAGCTACAGCCTGGCCCAGAAACCTACACACACTGTGCTCACCTGAGTGGCTCCTTGATCAGCTCAGTTACTGTTCAGTCAATGACTAAATCTTTTATAAAACACTCTTGGGAAGTTGGAGTGTACTGTATATGGATTTAAGGCATCCTTCCTCCTAGAGGCCTGTTGCATTTCCTTATTTTAAGTTAACTGTCTCACACTTTGGTTACTTTCCAATCTGAAATGCCTTAGGATTAGAGAGCAGGCTATGCACTTGCTTGTCCTACTCTCTGCCTCCTCAGAAGTCAAATTTATATCAATGCACACAAACAAGCAAACTACAGGAGAGCAGTCCATGCTTGTGGGCAAAGTAAGACTAGATATCAGGCATGACTTCAAGGGTGATGGGAAAATTCTCTTCTCCAAGTATATTTGTATAACTCCAGATCTATGTTTGAAATTCTGTATTGATAATTCCACTCCTTACTCCCTCTTACGAAGCAGAAACTCTTGGAAGAATTAATACTTTAAGTGACTATTTGGTACTAACACCTTAATATGAAGCAATTCCAGATAGGTCTTGAAGGTAGGCTTTGATTAAGGGGAAGGTGGAAAAGACAAAAGGGATGTACAGAAGAAAGGGATAGGATACCACCAAGATGTAGAAAATGGCAAAGCCTAGAAAAGATTAAGCACACATACACACACACCCTACACAATATTTCCAAGACTGGCTTTGCAGGAGAGAAAATAAACGCTCCTGAGGGGACATCGAGGTTTCCGAGGGTACTGTACAAAGGCCGGGCACATTAGAGGGTTTCTAAAGCCAAGAAGGTCAAATTCAATTAATAAGGTAGTAGTATGAAATGTCCCAGCTGTAGTGAGGTTTAGAGGAAAACCAATTTCAAATCCAGAGAAACTTCGGAGCTTCTCCTATCACTATAGAGAGACAGATACAGGTGCCCCCTGGAGAATCACCTTCTTCTTTTGGGATAATGAAAGGAGGGTCATATAATCTGAACATGCAGAAGGCAGAGGTCTCAAATTCCTCACTTCAGCAGAGATGCCAATAATTCTCCCAAGCAAAATGATTCACTTTAACATTTGTTTCCTGCTCATAAAAGAGAAAAAAGTTTTGGCCATCTATATGGACATTTCCTAGGATACTCAGTGCACAACTGGGGTGTGTGTGTGTGTTCAAGGAGGTGAGAGATAAGCCAGAATAGAGCTCTCTATCAGTTGAATTTGATAGAAGCAAGACAAAATGAACCGTGAAAGGAGCACAATAAATAACAGAGTATCATCCCAGAAGGGAAAACCGTGAAAAGAATGAGAAACCAGAGTTTGGTGAGAACATGAACACAGAATGGCCTTTGGTGGCACATCCCCCAAAGCGAAGCAAGATTATTCCCATCTGCTGTCTCTTATCTCTGACCTTTCTGGATGAAATATAATGAGTGAGGTATATGTGGGAGGATTAACACTTTCTACACTTCTGTACGGCTTGAATATTTAAAAATATGTGAATATTACCTTTGTAATTAAGAAGAAATGTAGTTATAAAATACAGTGGTATAAAAGGGAAAAAGGAGGATGTAAAATAAGAGAAAATGCAATAAGCTCCCATCTCTGGGGGACAAAGAAGGTCAGCAAACCACTAAAAATATATGGGAGGAGGGGACTCCTGTCCCTTGGTTATCCAGCTTCCTTTTCTCTACTCACCCCCTACCCAAGTGCCTCGCTGTTTGACCCAACTTTCTAACAGCACAGAAACCTGGGCACCTAAAGAAATAGACAAAGAACAGAGGTGATGCCAACCTTCTGAATGGAATTTCTCATTCTTCCCCAAATCCCTTCCTTAGTGATATCACCTCATAGTTCCAGGCTTGGTTCCACCCAACCTTCACCTGCCTGGGAAATACCCAAGTCTAAGTCCCACAAAAGTTTCACCAACTGTGGTCAGAAGATCTCTTGATGGCTGGGGATCTCTGAGCCCCTTTGCAGTGCAGATAATGAAATCGCTGACTGCCCACTTCTAAGGTCCGAGATACAGTATCCACTATAGACCATATTATTAAGTGGGAAAGAAACAGACAAACGTCCCTCAAATCCAGGTTCTTAGCTTTTTCACAGGACATGAAACAGTGGGTAAGAGAAACACAGAGACTGCAGCCAAAGTGTAGGGGCTGAGTCTGGAACAGCCAACAGTCACAGAAAAAAAATTTACATTTGTCTTCACTGGCTACCCTGGGAGTACCAAAAAACTTCAAGTCACCACATCTCAACACGAATGCGAACAAAAGAGCGGGTACTCCCAAGACCCAGAGCCTCCAGCCCACCCTTCAGCATTCCCAGAAGCTCCCATAACTGACACCAGGCCCTGCTTCCATTTCCCCAACTACCTCAGCCTTCTAGATCAGGGAAGCTTCCTTCGTTTGCCCCAGTTCTCCCTCACTGAACACAAACCCCTCTCGGCTCAACTCTGGGGCGTAGTTATTTTTATAATAGTCACTTTCCCCGAAAAGAATGCCTCTTACCCAGCTAAGAACCCTTCTCAGGCCCTTCCCATCAGACACCTCAGGGAGCCCCAGCCCAGCTGCCCTCGGGGCCGGGCGTCAGGTCTGACCCCTCCGCACCTCCCGACAAATGGGCTTACCTCACCGCCGCCCCGTCCCTTCCCCAGCTCCTCCCTCTTCGGCGCTGCTCAATGAGGCCTGCCCCTGCCCTCCCACCAGCCCCGGGCCTCCGGCGCCGGCCCCAGCCCGGCAGCCCACAGAACCCGGCCGCCTCCCGGACTCACCAACTTTGGGCTCCCAGCCCGCCCGGCCCCCTCCTCAGCGCCCCCATTAGGCCTGCCGGGGCCCGGCCCCCTTCTCCCCTCTCCAGTGGGCCGCTCTAACCCCTCGCGGAGGCCCAGACCCGCCTCTGCTCTCGGGCCAGGCCGCTCTCCTCTCCCGGGCGCATCCGCCCCCGCCCCTGCGGGCTCCATCAGCCCGGTACCTGGGGCTTCGTCTCCCCCGTCGGGCCCAAGCCTGTGTCGAACAGACAAACAGCTGCGGCTCAACCAAACCCTCCTGCCCCTCCTCCTCCCCCTCGCCCTGGGCGGGGGCCCCAGCCAATAGCACGATTACCCGCCTACCACCAAGGGTGGGCTACATGAACCCTAATCCGCCAATCCTGTGAAGAAAGGCGGGTCTCTTTCGGAGCTGTCACCAACGAATACTAGCAAGGGACTCGACAGGCGGGGCCACAGACCAATAAGGAGAGGGAACCCTTGAAGATGGACGGGATGAGGAGCCATTAAAGAGCGAGCTCCCCGAGAGAGGGGGCGGTACACTGTTGACAGGCGTATATATAAACCAATAAAATCTCGACACCCTCATGACCCCGCCTTTTGACTCATAAACATCTAATCAGGTGAGTAATGGAGGCGGGTCAAAGGGAAACTTTAACCAGTACTGCGAAAATTCGGGACTTGAGTGGCAGGCAAGGCGGGATTGAAAGAAGCCTTAGGCAGGCCGCTGCTGACCTTCGCCCCTCCCCTGGATTTGGCGGGGGCTGCCTCTAGCGCCCCGCCCTCTATGACAAATTCGCGGGCGAGAAGGGAAATACCTCTCCCGGAGACCCGGCGCCCGGGAATTTAAGTAGCCATCACGTCGGTGCTTCCTCCTTTTAGTGGGGCCTCAGAGGACAGGAGTCTTTGGGGTGATCAGTGACGGTCTGAGATGTTTTTTGGCGGGGTGGGAGAATGGCAACTCCATGAAGCAGTAGCTTGCGGAGGCTTTTAGCCCCTCATAATAATTTTTCATACAATTGACATAGTCCGAATCATATGCAAATGTGAATAAAATATCTTTAGAAAAGTTCGCTGTTTGTGATATGCAAAAGAAGGGAAAACGACGAGCTTAGTGGGAAATGCAGTGTCAAGGTGAATTCCCATGGAGCCCATTCCCAACCACACTGCTGCTTCTAAGCGCTTCCTAACATTGAAATTCTGTAACTGCCGCCTTGTATGTATGTGTATGTGGGGTGTGTGTGTGTGTGTTGTCGGGGACGGGGTAGATGCAGGGTTATGGGGAAAGTGAAGTAGGAAATACCTAGGCTTTCAGTTTCCCCAGCTGTAATAGGGGCATTATCCCAACTGCATCATAGAGGCAAAATGGGGTAGGGTGGGTAGCTCTGCAGAGAGAGATTAGGAAAAGTGGAGGTCTGAAACCAATTATCACATATACACATTTATATTCTCTCTCACACCATTTTTTCAGTAAATAAATACACAAAAGTAGAGGAAAGAGATGAACTATAAAATGAGGAACTTTTTTTTAATGAATTACAAACTAAATTACAAATAATGTTAATAGCAAGAACACTCAAGGACAAGAGGTGGGAGAAGAGAGACAAAATCATAGAAAGAAAAAAATGCTTTTTTTTTAAACATTCGCATTACAAAACCCCAAGGTGTGCACGGCAACAAATCCACCCACTCCGACTTAAAAAACTACTATAACCTGAAATATAAATATAATTGTTCATCCTTCTCTTAAAGAAATATTTTTTTCCAATGGCCTCGCTCAGTCACAGCCCTAAAAAAGTGTCAGCATTCTCAAAATGATGTCTAAAGCCTAACTTCCACTCCTACAGGATGGCCTTTAGAGGAAGACAGGAGCCAGGATCCCTGGCGCCTGAAGAATTAAGACTCTTAACAGGAAGAGAAAAATTCGAACATCTTTCACTTGCCTCATAAGGCCACAGTGAAGCACAATGCCTGTCCCAGAGCTCTGAAGACACCCTTGCCCATAGGAGAGACAGACAAGCGGTGTAGGGGCCATCATTTCTACTGCAGACTGTGGAGACTGGGTGGGAGTCTTGAGTCTCCCAGACTGTTAGGGGAGATGAAACACTAAAATTAAGGTATAAACTGGTTGGATCTATTTTTTAACCTAATTCTTTAAAACAGGCCCCTTCCTATATTTTTGTTTTGCTTGGTTTTCAAAAGTTCCCCCTTGGTATCAGTTGGCCTTACAAACACAGTGGCTGCAGGAGGCTTGGGGTCTCCGCTGTCCCAAACACGGGAAACAATAACTACGGGACTTTCAGAGACTGGGATGGCAAACCCTATGTGGGGGGAGGGGAAAGAGTCAGGTTTTTTTTTAAATATCAGCCCTCCTCAGCGACAAGGAAGAGGAGGGGAGAGGGTAGTGGAGGCTAACTTAAGTGCATCTAATACTGAAGCTTCCTTTCATTTTCACCCATTTTTCCCCTCCACACCTGTGTATCTCCAGAGTTGGCTGGCTGAGAGGAGAAGGTGAGTGTTAAGGCAGCCAGACAAGATGGGAGGGCAAATAGCCCAGGGCCAAGCCAGATCAGACCCCCCCCCCCCGCCACACCCCCTCCCGGAGGAGAAGGTGAGCCTAGGAGTGGTGGCTTAGGGAAGGAAATCAGAGTCGAAGGTGGGGTACTGGCTTGGTCACATCCTGGAAGAAAGGGTGAGTCAGAGCTGCCTTTGCCGAAATCCGCTTGTTGGGGTCGTAGTGCAGCATTTGCTAGAGGGAGAGATGTATGCTGACTTCAGTGATATGACAGTGGACTAAATGGGTAGCAGGTGTTCCAAGAAACTGGGAAACCAGAATTCTTTTTACCCAAGGCAGAGTTCCCATTTCCCTCCTCCCTTTATCTGGAGGGTGTGCCAACCAGGAGAGAAGCAGGGACTAGGGAAATGCTGAGACCCAGAGTGGAGGGTCTCATCCTTCCTTCATCCTGGACAAACCCTGCCCTGGGGGAGTGAAAGAGACGAAATGGGTGCCCACCCTCCACTCTCACCGATAACAAGCTCCGTCCATCTTCATCCAGGGGAGGCACAACTTTGCTAAAATCTTGCCGGGCCCACTTGGGGAAACTTGGCTTATAATCAGGCATGGAAGTAACTCCTGGCCAAACCGAGTCATCTGGGGTCCCCAGAGTTCGAAAGATCCGGAAGAGTTGGTCAATCTCAGAATCTCCAGGGAATAGGGCCCGCCGGGTCACCTGAAAATGGGGAAAGAGGAAAGGCCAAGACTCACATTGACGTCAGTCAAAACTGCCCCCTGTACAATGGAGGTTCCCACAGGCAGTGGAAGGTCAGCAGGGCCCCATGACTCCCTCCCCAGGGCCTTTCATGGGGTCAGTCACACAGAGCCTGAGACAATGAAGTCCCTTCATCTGTCTCCTCGCCCCCTCCTTCCTTCCCCCAATCATGGCTTTGTAGATCCCCAAGGCTGGGTGGGACTGGGAGGGGGTGAATGTCTGGGGTGCCACTGACATGTAGCAAAGGGATCCCAAGCCACTCACGGGGTGTGGGGTAGACACTGCGGTCATCCCCCCTCCTTGTGATGCAGCCACTTCTAGATAGGAGCACAGCGGGCAGAGACTGTGTCTTCCATTTCTTCTGTGTTCCCCACAGCACTTAGCATGGTGCTGGGTACACACTAGGTGCTTAACAAATATTTTTGGATGAATTGAGAGAGGAATATGGGCAATTGTAAGGTAATGCACTGGGGGATAAATGCACATTATATATATTATATATGTAGGCTATTGGTCTCCAAGCCCCCAGTTACAACCCAGATAAAGGACCACAAAACATATTGCTGATTTGATTTGAAAACTCAGCCCACTCCACTGCTGTATTATAGGGGATGAGAGCTCCCATATAAGGCTGGGCCTTAGGGATCCTTCAATCTGAAGAGCCAGAGGTTGAAGGGGGACGTGATCTAAGCCTGCAATTTAAATAAAAGGTGTGGATAAGGTGAACGCAGTTGGCTTCACCACATTCCTGGCACCCTACAGTAAGGTCTACAGGCCATGAAGGACATGCTAAATGGAATTCACTCTCCCAAATATATGCAGACTAAAGCTAAAACAGCTGCAGAAGTTATTTAGCTCAATTCAGGGATGAGAGATGTATACTGGATACTAAGGCTCTTTGAGGATATCCTAACATGTGTTTGACATCAGGGACAACAGTCCTATCTTTCCCCCACCAACCCCCTTGGTGCTACTCTAGAGAAAGAACCCTGCTACTCTAGAGAAATAATAGAAGGGCCATGGGTCTGGGCCAAGAAACAATTCTGTTGTTCTTAAACGTGGGGAGGAGTGGGCTGGGTGGAACTAGGGCATGCCTTCGTACCATCTCAGCAAAGATGCAGCCCAGGCTCCAGATGTCCACAGCTGTGGAGTAGTATTTGCAACCCAAAAGGATTTCAGGTGCTCGGTACCACAGGGTCACCACCTGGGGGACAAGAGTAGGAAGGTGAGGGTTGGTAAAGGGGCATGGAGATTCCCACATCTCAGCTCCTCAACACTATTCTGCTCTCAGCCTCTTAACAAGCAGCTTCCTTCCCTCCATCCCTTCCCTCCTTCTGACTTCCCCCAAGGGAAATGATTACATACAACTTCTTAGCCCAGAGTTAGCCTAGCCCATGGCTCTGGGGACCATATTTTCTGAACCCCCAATTTGTGACCTTCCTGGAAAACTTGAGACAAGTGGTCATAATTTTCTTTTTTTTTTTCTTTTTGGCTGGGAAAGATTCGCCCTGAGCTAACAATTGTTGCCAATTTTCCTCTCTCTCTTTTTTTCCTCTCCAAAGCCCCAGTACATGGTTGTATATCCTAGTTGTAAGTTCTTGTAGTTCTTACATGTGAGCCGCCACCACAGCATGGCTATTGACAGACAAGTGGGGTGGTTCCAGGCCCAGGAAGTGGTCATAATTTTAATGGTGTGCCATCCAGCTCTTCTGGCTTGGTATCTGTCAAACGCCAGTTAACCCTACTGTATGAACTCTGTGCATACTCTAAGACCTCCTGGGGTGTCAGAGATACTTTCCATCTACTGAGAGAAAAACTGCTGGCAGATATTTTTAGTAACTTTGTGAATGCCCTTGTTAACACCTCCCAGGAAGTTCAGAGAAGACATGCAGAGAGGGACTCACCTCATGAGTATAAGTACGAACAGGGACTCCAAAGGCTCTGGCTAGTCCAAAGTCTGCTAGCTTGATGGCCCCCTCTGCGTTGATAAGCAGATTCTGAGGTTTGAGGTCTCGGTGCAGGACCCGATGAGAATGGCAGAAAGCTAGGCCCTGGAGCAGCTGGAACAGATAGCTCTGACAAGGGAGGGAGAGAGAGGACTGTGTTTCTCCATCACAGTGAGCAGATTAGGGTCTGCTCTGTAGCTCCAACGCTCTACTAAACCTTTACTATGTTGGACTATAATTACATGTTTACAAGCTGTTTCTCCCATTGGATTGTCAGCCCAGTGAGGATAAGGAACAGGTCTTATTCAGCTTTGCATCTCTTTTCCATATCCTGTGCCTAGCACCTTGAAGGTGTTCAATAAATTTGCCTTGAATAAACATTTGCTGATAGATTGAAAATAGCTCAGGGAGTAAAGAATCAAGCCTTAAAACAGACAGTAGAGAGTCACTGGCTATTTTTCCCACCAAACAGGTGGAAGAACTTTTCAGAGGAATCTACCAAGTGCCCTGAAGCCCTATTTATCTGAGTTTCATCTGACCTTCCACCTGAGCTACTAAGTTGACTCACTCAAGTTTCAACTTCTTTGATTCTCCTGCCCAGCCTTGAAGTGAAGAAGCATAATGAGCAATGAAAGAGCCACCAAAGAAAGGGGTGTGTGTGTGTGTGTAGGGGGATGAGGGCTGAAAAGGAAGCCAACATTACAAATCATCACTCAGTCTGAATTGCCTGCCTTCAGTCCCCCCGAGATTCCCATGACGGGGAGGAGTTGACAGGAAGGATTACCTTGATGAGGGGAAGAGGAATGCCAGTGAGAGCAGAGGCATCCATGAATTTCTTGAGATCCTGGTGCAGAAACTCAAAAACCAGGTAGAGTTTGTTTTCTGTGTGGATGACATCCAGCAGCCTAGGGAAGAGAGGTCCAGGAATGGAGGTGAGGGAGAGAAATGCCCAGACTTCACAGACAGAAGGCATCCTCCTTTACTACCACAGCACCTCCCAGATACATACTTACTTGACAATATTAGGGTGGTTAAGCTCCTTAAGCAGAGAGATCTCCCGGATGGCAGTACTGGGTACACCCTCCGTCTCACTTGGAGAGGTTGGGAAAGCAGAGATGGGAATGTGGTTACAAATATTCCTTTTCCCCTAGTCCACTTATTCTCCCCCTCCCACCCCTGCAAGAGGACACCACCCCAGCATCCCCTAGGAAAGTCAGAGAAGAGAAAGGGGGCTGTAGGAGTTAATTCATGGGTGGACAGGGAGTGGCTTTTGGACACATTAAGGTCATTATTTCTTCTTCTCCCAGGGATAGGTGAGTAAAGCCTCCTGGTGAAGGTGAAACAGAGAGAACATAGAGGGGGAAAAAAGGGAATAGCAGCACCCAGCCTCCCTAGAGGCGCCAGTGAGGTTCAACTGTCATTCTTTCGGAAGAGGGAGAGAATTCTAAGATGAGGGTGGGGTTTGGACAGTAGGAAGGGCTTTTCATTCAGAAAGGTACTTTTCACCAGTTCCTACAAAACCCAGCTCCATTAGAAGTCCTGGACCCCATCTCGGAGGCCTTCTTACTCTTCCTGAGTCTTTCTGACGGCACATTTCGGGGGCGGGGGTTGGGAGGTATCACCCGGCTTTGGGGAGGAAGTTTCCCATAGATTCTACACTGCCCTATACTCTCCACAGGGAAACCTACTGTCCTCCAATCCACCTCTCCACCTCAAAAGAAGTCCCTCCCTGCTACCTTCCGGTCCCTGGACGGCTACCCGCCTGTTGGGGTGGGGGTGGGGGCACTCAAGGAGCTCCGGAGTTAGGAGTCCGGGGTACAGAGGCCACTCACGTGTCCAGGCGGATTTTTTTAAGCGCGACCACTTCTCCCGTCAACTTGTTTTTGGCTTTGTACACAACTCCGTACGTGCCCTCTCCGATCTTTTCCACTTTTTGGAAGTTCTCCATGAAGCGCTAGCGAGCCGGGTCAGCCCGGCCCAGGAGGGGGCGGCCTGGGAACCCTGCGGAAAGCGGGCCCCGGCTCTCGGGGGACCAAGGAGGGAAATACAGGGCTCAGCACCTCGGCCCCAAGTCGGGATGGAACGCAGTGTTTCTCTCGCTCTTGTCAATTTGTCCAACTTGAAACAATGTTGCCGCCTCCCCCCAGTTCACTGCCGCCACCAGAGGCCCCGCCCCTCCTTCCCGCGTTTCCCTGGCTCCGCCCCCAGCCCTTCCTATTGGTCAACGTCAGAGCCGGAGGGGCGAGCCCAGCGACCCTGGCCGCAAATAACCTTCCCGCGCGAGTTTGTTTTGAGGGGCGTTAAGACAAGTTTCTGCCTCGGTGAAGAGGCTGAACACCGTTTTCCAAGTACCTAATTTGGGCTCGAGTTTCCTACCTGTGTCCTTAGAGATTTTCTGATCTCTAACTCACCGTTTTCACCACCCTTAGGAAAAATGGGTATCGTCCTAAGATTACATTCCACCTGGCTCAGGGAGCCTCCTTCGAAGAGCAGGAAGCTGAGAATCTCAGGGGTTTCCTGGGGCTCGGAGGAGTCGTTGCCTCTGCCTCTCAGCCTTCCCTGATACTGTCTCTCTCTGTTTTTGCATGCAGGGTCTCTTTTTGGCTTTTTGAGAGGATCCTGGTTTGACTCAAACAACAGATTGATTCACTCTCCCATGATGAATTGTGTGTGTCCGGTACGTGTTATGTAGCTGCCCTTCAGTTAATTCTTTCCCAGGGGAATGGAGTATTTCAAGACGAAAGTGACTCAGTGAAACCAGAAACTGTCATTAAGTAGTGGGATGTCCAGGGACCAGGATCCCTTGTCAGTTTTGCCTTTCTCTGTCCTCCTGCCCCTCCCAGACCCTCTCTGGAGGGAGAGGGGGAAGGGCTATGCAAATGAGAACCCCTTTCTTATATAGGGGCTTGTCCCAGTCTCCCAGCGCCTTTGGTTGCTGGAAGAAGAGGATGGATCCAGTGCTCAGAAGATGCCTTCTCCATATGGCTGTGATGGGTACTCTTCTGGCTGTGGGGGCCACAGAAGGTGAGTGCGGGTTGTGTGGAGATGAACAAGTGTGAATTTGGGGTTGCACACCTGCTCTGGTTTTTCCTCTCCTAATGGAAGATACCCATTTAATTTACGTGAGGACATGGGTGCTTGAGCTCCCTCCCCACATTGAGATTTGGGACTGAGCCTGAAAATAATCCCATCTGCTTGGAAGGACAAGAGGACAGTGGGTCTTTATGGCCTTAATTCTGAGGCCCCCTGGGCAGTGAGATGGAACAGGGGCTCCAAGGGGTGAAATGAGTGGGAGACTCTTTTAAGCAATGTCTCAGACAATTGGGATAGCGTATTTAAAGGGAGAAGTAAGAGAACGTGGTATCGGATAAGAAGAATAAGGAGGCACAATATCCCCTCTTTGGAATGGAATGGGTGAACACAGCCCAGGCTTTTGTTCTGGGGCTGGAAGAGACAGGCAGAGGGTCTCAGCTGAGCATCACATGAAAGGGCTCTGGGGGATTGAGGCCTCGTGACAGGAGCAAGGGGTGGGGGTAGGGGTGGTGAGAGGGTCTGGAATGTCCTGTGCTGCTCTGAGGAGGGAGGGTTGGGAGTGGAGAAAGAATAGGGCATCTTATGATTCTCTTGCTCTAGTGGTGGGATGCTCAGTGAGATGCTTCCAGATCCTCCCTCAGAGGAATCAACTAGGTTCCCAGGACGCATTAGAAATGGAGTGAGGATAGTTTCTGGTGTGCTGAAATATATACCTCATATCCCAGTCCCCATTTTCTATCTCCAGATCCAGGGTCGCACAGACTTCTAGGAAGTTCTCCTTGATCTGACTTCCCTCATTCATGCCGCAGTTTCAAGTCTTATCCTTTTATTATGTTCCTTAGTGTATTCTGGAAACATTCTGTTCATACTTATCCACCTGAGGCTCTTAAAAGATTGTGCTTACTTTTTGGATCCTGATTTTTAAAATCATAAGAAGACATTTTTGGATATCCATAAAATTGTATATGGACTGAGTTTGATAATTTTGTCTAGTATAAAATGACATTGTGCTTCTTCAAGAAAATGTTCATATTTTTTACAGATACATACTGCATTTGTAGGGTTAAAATAGCAAGATGTCTGGGATTTGTTTTTAAATACTTTAGCCAAAACACAACAACAGTAACAAAGGAGGGATAAAGCAAATGTGGCAAAATGTTGGCAGTTTTTGGATCTGGGTAAGGCATATGGAGCTCCATCACAACCCTTTTTCTCAGATCTCTCTCTTGGTCAGTTAGAATAATTTTATCTGCTCTCTCCCCGCCCCCAATCTCTGCCTGCCTCTGATCCCTTCTCCTCACTTCTTACCAGTGATCCTTCTAAAACACATCAGATCATATTCAAAAGCTTCTGAAGGGTGAATTTTGTGGTATGTGATTATATCTCAATAAAACAAACAAACAAACAAAATCTTCGGAGGTGGCCTTGCTGACAGGGTAAAGGCCAAACTCCTTCACCTGGCACTCAAAGCCCCCAACCTGTCTTCTTGACCTCATCTCTCACAGGGCTCAGCAACCACGTTGCTGGTAGTCCCCTGTCATGCCATGTGCTTCCATGCCTCCTTGCATCTGCTCCTGCTGGGCCTTATCCCACAGGCCAACTCCTCACTGAAATCTTTCCCAATCCACCAGAGTAGAACTAATCTGTTTAGTTTGCCATTTTTGTGCACTTTGTGTATGTCTCTTATGGCTCATATTAAACAGTGGTTTGAATTATAGTAATTTATGTATATGTCCATTTCCTATACTTTACCTTGAATTGCTTCAGTGCCATGTCTTATAATTTCTTAAGTCCTTTGTACCTAGCATAGTACTTGGTACATGATGAGTATTCAGTAAATTAAAATGCACTTTGAATGTGAGAATGAGTGGGGCCACGTGGGATGACGTTATCTTCTGAGAAGGGACTGAGTGAGGATCCTAGGGCCCTCATGGTACCTTCCTTTTAGGACCCAGAGACCGGAACTGGCTCGGTGTCTCAAGGCAGCTCAGGACTAAAGCCTGGAACAGGCAGCTGTATCCAGAGTGGACAGAAATTCAGGGGCCTGACTGTTGGAGAGGTGGGAACTTGGCAATTTCTGGAGGGTATGGTGGGAATGGGGTAGGGAGAGGAGCAAGAACTGGGTTGGATATAGCTTGGGAAGATAGGAATGGAAAAGGCATGTGGGGAGGGGAAGCCAAGGAGTCCCACTAATTCAGCTGCCCTTCCAGGTGGCCAGGTGGCCCTGAAGATCAGTAATGATGGGCCTACACTGGTTGGGGCAAATGCCTCCTTCTCTATTGCCTTGCACTTCCCTGAAAGCCAAAAGGTGCTGCCGGATGGGCAGGTCATCTGGGCCAACAACACCATCATCAATGGTGAGTATCTCTCTACTCTAGGCCCTCTTCTAAGGGCTCCAATTCCCTGATATCCCCAATGAGTTCAGAGAATGCTCCCTTCCCCCTTTTTTTTTTTCTACAAATTATATATGTAATACATATTCATGATAGAAAAATTAGAAAACACAGAGAAAGCAAAAAGAAGAAAAAATTATAGTCTCTAAAATGGGGGACAGAATACCCAGTGGACCTAGGAGTTGGACAGACTTGCATTTAAACTTGCTGCTAGCATGTGACCCTGGGCAAGTTACTGAATTGTTTTGTGCTTCCATTCCCTTATCTGTAGAATGGGGATGATAGCTACCTTGAAAAGTTGTTTTGAGGATTAAAATGTGATATTATACAAAGAATTGAGCATAACACCCTTCCCTTGCCTATAATAGAGGCTCAGTAGATGTCAGCTGGTGCTGTTATTTTAATTTTTATCCCACTAGCTAGAGCACTCTAAACATTTTGATATATGACCTTCCAATCTTTTTCCTAAGTATCTACATATGAATATATATTTTTTAATTTTTATTGAGTTAATGATAGGTTACAATCTTGTGAAATTTCAGTTGTACATTATTGTTTGTCAGTCGTGTTGTAAGAAGTATCTACATATGAATATTTAATTGTAGTTTCCATTCTCCCCCACACCATCCCAAATGGGTTATACAAGGGGAATGTACTTCATAGCTAGGGAGTGTTCCAGAGCCCCTCTCTGGGAGCCGTGTTAGGGGTTTTGGTGTATAGATGGGAATGCCAGGGTTTGAGGGTGACTCTCTATCTACCTTTCAGGGAGCCAGGTGTGGCGAGGTCAGCCAGTGTATCCCCAGGAACCTGATGATAGCTGCATCTTCCCTGATGGAGGGGCCTGCCCATCTGGCCCTCTGTCTCAGAGGAGAAGCTTTGTTTACGTCTGGAAGACCTGGGGTGAGGGACCCCCTTCTCTGGCCTGTCATCTACAGTTGGATTCTCCTCTTCCTACCTGATCCCCTTTCTCTCTGGTCCCACCTCTGAAGCTCTGTGAGTTTCCCTAATCTTCATTTCCCCCATGGCTCCTTCCTCTTCTATAGGACTTAGCCCCTTCCAACTCGCTCTATTATAATTCTTTCTGGGAGCCCTTCTCCAATTATAGTTCCATCCCATGGAACATCTCATTAGGACTCCTTTCCTGCCCCCCATATCACAACCTTCCAAACACCCTCTGAAATAAGCATCCTTAATACCTCTCCAGACCTTCCTTCTCTGGTGCCCTGTTTCTAATCTTGCCCTTCAGTCCCCTTTGAACAGTAACCCCCACCCCTCCTACTTTTCTTTCCGAAAACCTCAGGCCAATACTGGCAAGTTCTGGGGGGCCCAGTGTCGGGGCTGAGCATTGGGACAGGCACAGCAGCGCTGGGTACACACTCCATGGAAGTGACTGTCTACCACCGCCGGGGGTCCCAGAGCTACGTGCCCCTCGCTCACTCCCGCTCAGCCTTCACTATTACTGGTAAGGATTTAGGAAGGGGCAAGATCAGTTGCAGGGCAGGAGAAGGTGGAGGGGCTTGGCTGGACTGGAAAGGGAAATGGTGTGTGACCTTAAAGGGGCAGAGCCAGAAAGACCTAGGGACAGAGGAATGTGGGGATTGGAGCCAGTGATGGGCCAATTAGTCAGCTTGGGGTTGGAGGGTGTGGTTGTGAAAAGACAAGCTGTGGCCTGGCCTGGTTCTCACCTTTTCTGGCTCCAATCCCAGACCAGGTGCCCTTCTCTGTGAGCGTGTCCCAGCTGCAGGCCTTGGATGGAAGGAACAAGCACTTCCTGAAAAATCAACCTCTGACCTTTGCCCTCCGGCTCCATGACCCCAGTGGCTATTTGGCTGGGGCTGATCTCTCCTATACCTGGGACTTTGGAGACAGTACCGGGACCCTGATCTCAAGGGCACTTGTGGTCACTCACACTTACCTAGAGTCTGGCCCAGTGACTGCCCAGGTGGTGTTGCAGGCTGCCATTCCTCTCACCTCCTGTGGCTCCTCCCCAGTTCCAGGCACCACAGGTGGATATGTGCCAACTGCAGAGGCCCCTGGCACCACAGCTGGACAAGTGCCTACTGCAGATGTTGTAAATACTACACCTGGCCAGGTGCCAACTGCAGAGCCCTCTAGAACCACAGCTGTGCAAGTGCCAACCACAGAGGTCATAAGTACTACACCTGTGCAGGTGCCGACTGCAGAGGACATAGGTACTACACCTGAACAGGTGTCAACCTCAGAGTTCCTAGGTACCACACTTGCAGAGATGCCAACTGCAGAGGCTAAAGGTATGACGCCTGAAGTGTCAACTCCAGAGCCCTCTGGAACCACAGTTGCACAGGTAACGGCTACAGAGTTGGTGGAAACCACAGCTGGAGAGGCACCCACCCCTGAGCCTGAGGGTCCAGATGCCAGCCCATTCATGCCTACAGAAGGAACTACAGGTAAGAGGGCCAGTGTGAACGAGGTTCACTGAGGTGGGGCATTTGTCACTACTCTAAAGAGCTGCTTTACCCAGGAACCAGATGTTACCCAATCCTTTGCTTAGCAGTGGAGTCCCTTCAGAGCCCCCACTGGTTTTAAAGCCCTCAAGGCCCTCTTAATGATATGGAATAGATCTGGAGTTCAGGAAACCAGGGTTCTCCCCTAGGCCATGGGGAGAGAGCTTGTTGCTTCTCTGTCTGAGGAGAGGTGTTGCCTGAGAGGAAGGCCAGGGAACAGACTGTGATTATATACATAATATTTATGTCTCATTTTCTTTTCTTTTATTATTATTTTGCTGAGGAAGACTCACCCTGAGTTAACATCCATGCCATTCTTCCTCTATTTTTTTTTTTGAGGAAGATTAGTCCTGAGCTAACATCTGCCGCCAATCCTCCTCTTTTTGCTGAGGAAGACTGGCCCTGAGCTAACATCCTCCTAACGTCTTCCTCCACTTTATATGTGGGACGCCTGCCACAGCATGGCTTGACAAGCGGTGCCATGTCCACACCTGGGATCTGAACCGGCGAACCCCGGGCCGCCGAAGCTGAACATGCGCACTTAACCGCTGCACCACTGGGCCAGCCCCTCTTCCTCTATTTTTTTTTTTTTTTTGTAGTATATGGGCCACCAGCACAGCATGGCTGCTAACAGAGCAGTATAGGTCTGTGCCGGGGAACCAAACCCAGGCCACTGAAGCAAAGCGTGTTTAACTTAACCACTAGGCCACCGGGGCTGGCCCCTATATTTCACTTTCTGTTCAAGTGTAAATGGAAAGTTTGCTATTTATTTACATTTGAACAAATTCTGACACTATTTCCTGCCCCCGATTCCCATCCCAAAGCAGGTTAACTGGGGATTGTGGTAGAAACACTGAAAAGGGAGGAATGAGATATTGATACTTAGATGACTTAAGAGATGTCCAGTGTCTAGCCTGGGGCCTGGCACAGTATGGGGTGTGATAAATATTTGGGATTTTTTAAAACTCCAACTCTGTCCCTAACTGTGTAACTCTTGGGCAGTCATTTCTCCTTTTGGGGCTCAGTTTCCTTACCTATAAAATGGACTTCCCAGGTCTTGTCTGACTCCAAGTCTGGATCCATTAGCCCTAGCTCTACCTGGAAAAATGCCTACTTGGCCTCTGTTTCCAGGTGAGTCATTTGTCTCCTGATTTGCCTCTTCAATCCTCTCCTGCCAGGCTCCCAGAGCCCCCTGCTGGATGGCACAGCCACCTTATTCCTGGTAAAGCGACAAGTCCCCCTGGATTGTGTTCTGTATCGATATGGCTCCTTTTCCCTCACTCTGGACATCGTCCGTGAGTCTTGCCTACTTTGGGGGCTGGTGGAGGGAGGTGTTTGCTGCCTGGGGCTGGCCAGTGGAAGCATACCTTGAAAGGAGTTACTCACCTGGACAAGAAGAATACCCAAATCCCAGGGTTTTCATTTGAAAGCACAGGGGTGGGAATGGGGGAGCAGCCCTGGGGCTTTTCTGTCTAGGGGCCGTTGGGGAGGCTGGGGAAAGGAATCCAGACTTAAAAATCTTCCAACTTTGCAGAGGGTATTGAGAGTGCTGAGATCCTGCAGGCTGTGCCCTCCAGCGAAGGGGATGCGTTTGAGCTGACTGTGTCTTGCCAAGGCGGGTGAGTGTCCCACTGATTGCCCTGCTCTTGGGAGTCTAGTATTCCTTCCTAGACCCCCTGACCTAAACTGACACCTTTCTCAGGCTGCCCAAGGAAGCCTGTATGGACATCTCATCGCCAGGGTGCCAGCCCCCTGCCCAGCGGCTGTGTCAGCCTGTCACACCCAACCCAGCTTGCCAGCTGGTTCTGCACCAGGTACTGAAGAGTGGCTCAGGGACCTACTGCCTCAATGTGTCTTTGGCTGATGCCAACAGCCTGGCAATGGTCAGCACCCAGCTTGTCATGCCTGGTAGGTACTTGGACAAGATCTAGGATGAAGGGGAGTGGGCAGAGGCTATCTGGCAGGGAGCAGACACTGACTGAAGCTGTGCCTGGGATTCTGCTCACAGGTCAAGAGGCAGGCCTTGGGCAGGCTCCCCTGTTCGTGGGCATCTTGCTGGTGTTGATGGCTATGGTGCTTGCATCTCTGATATACAGGTGAGGGCCCCACCATCCAGCGTACACCCCCTTATCCCTTATTACCACCACTCACTCTTCCTCAAGGGGAGAAGGAACCACCACTCCCTGTGAGGAAGCATGGTGTACAGGAAGGAGCCCAGACTTGGAAGTTAAACAGGCCTGGCTTGCAGTCTTGCTGGTGAGACCTTGGAGGAAGTAGCCTAACCTTTCTGAGCCTCTGAAAAGTAGGAAAATTAATACCTGCCCTGTGGGGGATGTTGTCAGGATTAGAGACAATGTGAGTAAAGCTGGTTCTGAGGCAAGAGTGTAATAAAGGATCATATTGATGATTGTTATTAATAAGATAAAAAGTGGAGGAGGTTGGCTGAACTGAGTTCTTCACCTGTAAGAGGGGCAGATCCCCAGGCCTGGAATGCCAACGTCCTCAAAGCAGGGAAGCTTGTAGAGTGAGAGGGGAATGGACAGAGGTTACCATATAAACAAGAGAAATGAACCCTGTTTGTGAGGAGAAGAGGAGGCAGCTAGGATCAAGGCCAAGTAAACCTGGGATGTGGGTGTGTCCTCTTCTTTGGAGAAGCACAGACAGGCTGCCCTTGTCCATTGCTTACCAGTTTCCTTCTTCTTCTCCCAAATCAGGCGCAGACTTATGAAGCAGGGCTCAGCTCTCCCCCTTCCCCAGCTGCCACACGGTAGAACCCACTGGCTGCGTCTGCCCTGGGTCTTCCGCTCTTCCCCCTTTGGTGAGAGCAGCCCCCTCCTCAGTGGGCAGCAGGTCTGAGTGCTCTCATGTGATGCCATGATTTACCCAGGTGTGGACAGCAATGCCTCTCTTGTCTCCAGTCTTCCCTTGGAGACTACCATTACCTGAAATAAATCCTCAGAACCTGGTGCTGTTTTTTTCTTGCTTCTGAGAGAATCGATGTCATTTAAGGAGTAGAGGTATAAATGAGGGAGGTGTACCACTTACTTAGATATCCCAGTGGGGAAAAAAAGTCATTTTATTCAGATGAGGCACTTTCAATGTATGTGTTTGTGGGGTGTGTGTGTGTGTGTGTGTGTGTGTGCATGGGGAATAGTGGAGGTTGGTGCAGGATAATAAATACTGTGAGGGTGAAGGAACACTCCCCTGAGCTGGCAGGAGGATGTGGCAGCAATGTACAGAGCCTAGGAAATAGAGTCCAAGGACGAGGAGGTGGCTTCAAGGCTGGCTTGGAGGCTGAGGTGTACCCCTCAGCACAAGAAGCCAAAGAAATTGGAGGAGCGAGGGGGTGGGCCCACGAGCATGGGCATCTGGTTCTTGTGGGTGATCTTGATCTAGAAAGGAAGGGGGCATGTTCAGAGGCAGGAGCTGGTGCCTTGGGGCTGGAGCAGCAGAGACTTGGCGGAAAATCAGTGGGGTTCGGGGTGGGTTGCTGGGGTCCCAAAGAGGCCATAGTTGGATGGTCAGGGGCAGAGAAATCAGGATTTTGGAGAAACAGGGGAACTTCAGGCATCAGAAGGAGGTAAAGCAGATGTGCTATGGAGATTTAGGACTCATGGAGCCTGAGGGTTCAGTTTTTGGCAGGCATAGGCACTACTCACTGTACAGGGCGTCTGCATCCAGGGTTCTCCATCAATTTGCATGGGGAGGGTTTTTGTGGTGCTGTGGGAGGCCAAGGCAGACTGGTGATTTCTTTACCAACCAAATACCAAAACTCTGTTTCTTAGGTTGACTTTGAGACCCTTTGTTACTGAGGAAGATCTCCTAGTACAGCCCCTCCCCACCATTCCCATGACTCTCTGCTCTCCTGACCCCACTCCTTCCCTCAGAGCCCCTGGCCAGAGTTCTCCTTACTGGAAGGTGATCTCAGAGCACTTGGCCAGCCGATGTCCCGCATTCTTGAGCTTGGTATAGATCTGGCCCATCTCAATAGCACCCTCCAGCCCTACTACTTCCAGCCGCTTGTCACTTAGGTCTGGGGGTGGCAAGTGGGGAGACAGGGTTTTGCAGAAGCAGGGTGCCTCCAAAGAGCCACGCCTTCCCCTCAGTCCCGCCCACTCAGCTCCCAAGGCTGCACCTCTCACCTGGTACACAGGTTTTCAGGATATCAGGGTCCGTGATGACTTTAGCTGTGGCACCTAAGGCCTGGTTGATGCCCTGGATATCCCCATGAGGCCTCTTGGTGTCACCCCAGAGGTTGGAGCCACCGTGCGTGCTAGGGATGTTCAGCACTGCGATGCCTTCTAGCGACAGGTTGCTCAGATCCAGCGGTTTCCCACAGATCTGAGGGGAGGAGAGCACAGACCCTCACCTCTTGGCATAATCATGGATGCGACCCCTCCCTCCATCAGATGACAGACCGGGAAGGCCAGGATTTGGAGGGGTGTAAGGAATGGAGGGAAATAGGGACTGGTGTATCTTGAGAACTTGGGAAATCAGGACTGGAGAGCTGGGAGGTCAAAGTATAGGTTCAAGAATATGGGAAGTTCCTGAGGGCGCCTGTGGAAGGAGAAACTAAGATATAAGAAGCTGAAAAGGATGTAGGGTTAGGTCACATCCCACCCACCTCAACTGTCAAAGACTCCTCCAGCTTTTTGCATGTTGAGAAGATGGATTCAGAAGTGGCGAATTCGAAGTACCAGAGCTTGTTCTTCATTCTGTGTCAGCCCCAACACAAGGCCCAGTAGGGAGGGACAAGTTACACAGTGCTGGCCGAGGTAGGCTAAGTGACAGGGAAGGACATCAACCTCCTGACTCCAGTCCCATGGAGAACAGGCTAGCTTTGGTTGAGGGGCTCCCTAGAGGTGTCACTGCCCAACGAAGTGCTCTGAGTCAACGTCAGCCACAACTGAGTCCCTGCCACTGCGTAGGCCACCCCACCCCCTTTCCCCTCACCTGCTGTTGAACTTCTCAGGATATTTCTCTCGCATGATGTGGAATCGGTGAGCAATAGAGGCATCCTGCGGAGTTCAGGGTACGTAAGCTCAGAGGTCTGCCTCCTCTCTCGGCACAGAACTCTCTCTTTAACTCCCCAGTTTGACAGCAGTATGTCCCATGTTCTTTTCTTGCAACTAACGCCACTGTACCGCACCCCCAATTTCCCTGTGTCACAGCTCCTTTAACCTCTACTTTCCCTTTCTGCCCTCCTCCAGGCTCTGCCTGCTTAACCCCCACTTCCTCCCTTCCCCCCAGGCCCCACTCCACTCACCACACCGATGGAGAAGTAGTTATTGATGATTTGAAAGGGAACTGGGTCACTCTTTTCTTCAGTTTGTTGGGGTATCACTTCCACGGACCATCGATCCATATGTACCACCTTACTCATCTCTAAATCCTTGAGTATCTTCCCCAAATTCTGTCCTTCATACCCTAAAGATGGGGGAGAAGACAGGTTAGCACTGAGTCCTGGATCCCTGAGGGACCTCCTCTCAGCTCCCAGCTCCACAAATTCCCAGGGATCCTCTTCCCTGGTTCTGCAGACGGTCCCAGCCTAACCAGTGAAAGGGCAGGGCGCTTGGTCATGACTCCCATGGCCCAATCTTAAGGGCAGCCCCTTGCTGACTCTTTTCTCCACACTGTCGTGGAGGGTGAATGTTCCCAATGTGTGTGGGCCTCTAACAATAACACCAAAGTTCACCTGAAAGATTAAACAGCCAGGAAAGTGCAAAATGCTAGAAGAGATGAGTGATGAGTGGGGGGTAATCTCTCTCTGACGCTCCCTCTCCCCATTCCACCAGATAGAACACAATGTAAAGCAATGGTGTCTATATAGTGTGATACTGCACAGCGAATAGAATAAAAGTTCAACAGTAAAGAATAGAGCACCCAGAAATAGAGTCAAGTATATCTGGGAATTTAGTATATGATGACATCCCAAATAAATGGGGGAAAGATAGATTATTTAACGAATGGTGCTGGATGTAGAAGTAACTGCTTATACCAAAATAAATTCAACGTGGGTCAAATAATTTAAATGTAAAAGAAATAAAGCAGAATTTGTACCAGCAGAAAACATGAGTGAATGTTTTTAGAATCTTTGAGTGGAAAAGGCCTTTCTAAAGCATAATATAAAACTAGGAGCCAAAAAAGGAAGACTGATAAATACAATTATATTAAAATTTAAAACTTCTGTATGGTTAAACAAACAGACACACAACTGAAAAAAAAGACAAAATACAAACTGGGAAAAAATATCTGCAGCACATATAACAGACTAACTTCTCCAACATTCAAAACGTGCTTACAAATCACTATATTTAAAAAGTCATGGGGCCGGCCTGGTGGCACTGCGGTTAAATTCACACGTTCCGCTTCGGTGGCCCAGGGTTCGCCGGTTCGGATCCCAGGTGCGGACCTACGCACCGCTCGTCAAGCCATGCTGTGGCAGGCGTCCCACATATAAAGTAGAGGAAGATGGGCACAGATGTTAGCTCAGGGCCAGTCTTCCTCAGAAAAAAAAGAGGAGGATTGGCAGTGGATGTTAGCTCAGGGCTAATCTTCCTCAAAAAAAAAAAAAAGAAAAGAAAAAAAGTCAATAGAAAAATGGGCAAATAACACAAACAAGCCAATCACAGAAGAAATACAAATGACCAGTACGCATATTAAAGATGCTCAGTATTACTAATAATTAGAAGAATTATAAATTATAATTAGTTAACTTTTTGTTGCCTCTCAGATTGACAAAGTATAAAGAGATTGAGAAAACCAAGTGTTAATGAGATTATGAACAAACTGGCACTCTCAATTGCTGTTAGTTGGAGCATAAATTGGTGTTTCATTTTTGGGAGGTAATTTGGCAATTTTTATCAAAATGTTATCAAATTTTATCAAAACATATCCTTTGATGCAGCAATTCCACTTTTAGGAATTTCTCCTGCAGAAACTCAGACACATGTGCACAGAGATGGATGGACAAGGATGTTTGCTGATGTACTCTCTAAAACAGCAAAAAACTGGAAATAGTCTAAATGCCCATCAGTAGGGGAAGGTTATATAAATTATGGCAAATCTATGTCATGGAATGACGTGCAGCAGTTGAATATAGAATGAAATCTGTGTGTACTAACATGGATAGATCTCCAAGACATGTCAGTCAATGAAAAAAGGAGTCCCAGGACAATCTGTAGTATGACCTCATTTGTGTTTATATAAAAGTCTGTGTGTGCACGCATGCGTAAAAACAGGAAAATGAGTGCAAATAGGAAACCGTCGTTATCTCTGGGGAGGTGTGTGGAATTTGGTGGAGGTAGGGAAGAGGAGACCTGTGTGGGACGTCTCACGCATTTTACTTTTTAGAATCTTTTACAGTGAAAATGTACTGATGTATCATTTGTGTAATTTTTTAAAAAAGACAATAATTAGGACCTGGCCCCATGGCCAATTGGGTGAGTTCACCCACTCCGCTTCTGCGGCCCAGGGTTTCGCTGGTTCGGATCCTGGGCACGGAATGGCATTGCTCATCAGGCCATGCTGAGGTGGCATCCCACATGTCACAACTAGAAGGATCCAGAACTAAAAATATGCAACTATGTACCGGGAGCGCTTTGGTGAGAAAAAGGAAAAAATGAAATCTTTAAAAAATAATAAAAAAATAAAAAGACAATAATTAGTAAAACGTAAAATGCTCATACTCTTTGAGCCAGCACTTCCACGTCTAGGAAATCTCTCATATCTCTGTGCAGAGATAGATGTGCAAGGGTTTGCACTGCGGCACGGTCTGTGATAAAAAACCCATCACTACCCACGTGTTTCTTAGTTGGGGAGTGGTTAAATAAGTTATGAGACGCTCAATGGAATGCTATTCTGTAACAAAAACAGTGAGGCAAACCTGACTGTATTGAAATATAATGATAACCAAGATGAGCCGTTTAGTTAAAAAAAGAAGAAAAACGTCAATAAAACGATCTCCATGTTTAAATGCATAATAGTATGTGTCCAGAAAGAAAAACATGGAGGAATAAACTCCCAAACTTTAAGGAGTAGATTATAGGGAACTTTCACTTTCTTGGCGTGTATATCTGAAATGTTTGAATCTTTTTTTTTACCACAAGCATGAGTTATTTTTGTAATCAGGAAAAAAATTTAAAAAATAAGTCTCCACTTCCTCATATTCCATTGATGGTTCAACCCACTGTAATTTGCCTTTCACCATACCTCCCTGCTGAAACTCTTTTGGCAAAGATTGCCAATGATTCCTGCCAAAACCAAGAATATATCTTTAGTTCTCACTTTAACTCATGAAACTCTTCACTTGGCCTCTAAAATACCACTCTGTAAGTTACAGAGGACCCTCTCGGACTGTTCCTTCTTAAGTCTTTGTGGCAGGCAGAATAATGGCCCTCAAAGATGTCCACGTCCTGATCTCCAGAATCTGTGAATATGTTGCCTTACCCGGCAAAAGAGACTTTGCAGGTGTGATTAAATTAAAGATTTTAAGATGGGGAGATTATCTTGGCTTATCTGGGTGGGCCCAATATAATCACAGGGGTCCTTATAAGTAAAACAGGAAAGCAAGAGAGAAGAGTCATGGAAAAAGGTGTGACAATGGAAGCAGAGGTTGGAGTGATAACATTGCTAGTTGGAGAGGGGGCCATGAGCCAAGAATGCTAGCAGCCTCTAGAAACCAGAAAAGGTAAAACAAAGGATTCTCTCCGAAAGCCTCTAGAAAAAAACACAGCTGTGCTAACACCTTGATTTTAGCACTGTGGGACTTATTTTGGACTTCTGACCTCAAGAGCTGTAAGATAATAAATTTGCGTTGTTTTAAGCCACTGTTTGTGGTGATTTGTTACAGCAGCAATAGGACACTAATACAGACTCCTTTAATAATTCATCTTCCTCTGCTCCATCCTTAAATAGAGTGTTTACCAGGATCTTGCTGTCCTTGGCCACTTTCTCTTCTTACCTCTTTCCCTGGGTAACTCATCTACTCCCAGGATGTCAATTACCTCCTAGGAGCAGATGATGCTTAAACACGTATCTTTAGGCCTGACTTCTCTCCTAAATCCCTAACATCTATTTCTAACTACCCACGACACATCTTCATCTAGGTGCTCCACGGACACTCCAACTCAGTATGTCCAAAACTGAATCTATCTTTCTTTCTTAAACTGGTCCTCCTCCTGTATTCCCTATCTCAATAAATGGCACCCCCATCTGCTCAGTCCACACCTAGAAAATGTTCTAGACTCGTCTTTACCTCCTCCTCCACATCCTATCAGTAACCAAGTGTTGTGGCTTCTACCTCATCAACTCGACTGCTACTGCCTTTGCTTTCGTGCTCACAACCTCTTGTCTAGACTCTTGCAATACAAGTAATTTCCTATCCTGTCTCCTACCTCCAATCCATCCTCCACAGAGCTCCCATAGCATGTTCCTTTCATCTCCCCTTCTTCAAACTTTACGGTTTTTTCAATATTAACACAAATTTTCATTAGCGCTGTATTTATATCATTATTTTCACGATTCAGGTGGAATTAGAAGAAACTGCTATGAGAGTCTTATTTGCAGAACACACAGTGAAGACTCAAAACACATGACATCAAAGTGTCTAATACTGTAAATGAAAACAAAGTCAGATGTTGAGGATTTAAAAACTGGCCAAAAAAATCGGTCATATATCTACATACAAGATTTAAGTTATAATATGCACTCAGAGATACTTCTGCTTTCTGGAATAATATTTTATATATACAGAGAGTAATTTTCATTCTATATAGAGAGTATAATACCATATTTATACTATATATATAGAGAAAAAGTATAATACCATATATATATATATATATATATACATACACACCTATTTTTTCTTTTAGTTAAATCTTTCATTAGTTCAAGAGTTACCCATGGTTCAACGATTGCACATTCAAATGCCTCACTGGCTAGAAAGGTAAAGTGAATGAGTGAATAGCAGGGAGCTGAGGAGACTGCGGAATTGAAGAATACATCACCCACTTCTTGGAAACAACCAAGTTCAAAAAAATTTAAAGCACTGCAAGACAAATAATACAGAACAACAGAAATCGTTTCTATGGGCTGTCAGCTTTCAATCTCTGGCAGGATAAAGTTAAAGACTTCTCAGCACAGCATTCATGACCCTCCATCATCTGGACCCTGCTCCACTCAGTCCGCCCTCTTCCCATTCCTCACCTTGCACCCCATGTCCAGTCACAACGAATGGCGCACACTTTCCCTAATGCACCTTCTCGTTGTTTGGTGGCTCCTCTGGCCTAACACAACTTCTTTCACCTAGAACACCTTTCAATCTCCTTATCAGACCCTGATTCCATAATCTCCTGCAAGATCTCAGAGCTGGATTCTGAACCCAACAGCTTCAATTCCAAGATACCTCAAACTCAACCTGCCCTACACTGACCTCTTTATCTACCAATACCATCCCTCCAACTCTTTCTCTTTGAAGGGAGAAAGAGACTAGAAATGAGAGTGCAGTTAGGAGAATGTTGCAATAGATTTGGGAAGAAATTATGATGAATGGATGAACGACCACTGACTAACTTTTTGAATGAATCACGGCCAGGCTCCCTACTAACTCCATCATTCAGCATCTGGCTTAGCTCTTATACAACCTTCCTTATTCCCACATTGTCCTCCTCCCGCTCCCATATTCCTTGATTCTCTGAGCCCTAAGAGTTGGTTGGGAGAAATAGATGGATATTTTTAGGTTGATAGGAAAGAAGACTGTCACCCTTGACCCTTCTAGGTTCAGACTGTGGTCCTTGCTTCTTCTAAAGTTCTCTTCCTTTTGGACAATCCACTTTGGTACCCAACCATCTGTGCTTCTCTTCTTCCTCAACCCTCTTTCTATGCCTTGAGGCCTTCTCTTTGTGCCTTTCCTTTCCTACCCAACTGCTCCCATTCCCCAGGAAAACAATTCCTAACCACTTACCTCCTCCCCATCTTAGGCAGCGAGCCAGATCATTTCCAGTGCCCAGGGGCAACACAGCAACAGGAGGCACAACAGGCAAGTTGGCTTTGTCTGGGGAGGCAGGTGAGGAGATGGACGGAGGAATTTAGCTCTGGAAGGCCACTGCCCCAGTGCCCTGCCCAGAGTCTCTTTCTGCACTGACCAATCATCTCTAGAATCCAGCCTACTGTGCCATCGCCGCCACACACCAAAACCCGGAAATTAGGAACCTCTCTGAAGAATCTGAGCCTGAGAAAAAGGTAAGAGAAAAGATGAGGAAAGATAACAGAACCAAGGCTACCCAACTCCTGGATAGACAGATTACTTCTTGTCTCTCATTCCTTATGACCCCTTTTCCCTTTGTCAAAAGGTCTGAGTTTCTGTTAAGGGCAGGGAGAAAGTACTTTGAGGAAAGTTATAGCCACTCCTCAGTGATTAGGGAGGAACTGGCATCTCCATCCTTTGAGAACAGAACAAAGATGAGCCAACGAACTCAGTGGCGGGGTGCCCAGTGACCCTAGGAAAAGCAGCATTCTGAATTCTGGTTTCTTGTGGTCCCCTAGCCCTCCCCTGCCAACATACACTGTTTCCTCTTCTCTCCCAATGTACACAGACAGACAGACACACACAAACGCTGTGATACAGCCCCTAACCTATACTCACCCTGCTTCAGGACCATCCTTTAGGAGGTTGAACACCTGTCGAGGGTTTAGCAGATATTGGAATTTCCAAAGCACCCTGTGTGAGGGAAAAAGGAAAGGTCATGGCAGGGGATAGATGTTCTGCACCCCACCCTTTTGATGTCCTTCTCAAGGTATGTCCCCTCCATACACACAGATTCCCAATCTCTGTTGGTCATCCCTCTCCATCTTAGAAGACCCAGTGTATCTCTTCTCACCTCTCCCCCTGCTTCCCGCCACTCTTAGGGTTGACAAAGACGAGAAGGGGGTGGGTGTTAGAAACAGGGTCAACCTGCATTTGGGGAAGAAAACAAGGATAGGGAAACAGGATTTTGTTAGAGTTAAGATGGGCCCTGGAGACAGGGGCAGAAGGCTGGCATTCCCCCAAGATACTTTCACCTCCCCTACCAGGGTGGGGCTTCTGAAAGCAGGCACCATTCCCCAGGCTTCTCACTTCATTCCCTCCCATGAGGGCTCCAGCGAAGAAAAACCAGCCCCCACCATGAATCCCAAGCCTCTTAGCCCTGTACCCGCAGAGCCTCAAAGGTGCTCAAATTTAAATCATCCATGGTCTTCTGGCTTGTTTTGCTACTTTTACGCTCCTGTCCAGAGGCCTAGGAAGGGAGGGAAGCACAGGGAAGGAAAACTGGATTGTGTGTGTAAATCCCTAAACAGATGAGAGTCTGACTTGAATCCTAAAAGAATAGACTTGCTGCTCAAAGTGACACTGTGTGTGTTTTTTAATGGGGGAAGCACTCCTGTCCCCTCCCAGCTGCTGCCCCAGGGTCTCACCAGGACGCTGGGATAGATGGAAGATGGAGGCAGGATGTGATCTCGGAGCAGCCCACAGTCACACTCAGGGCCCATGGCTTGCAGGCAGTCATCATGGATCTGAAAGACAGGGGTGCATGGAGAGATCATGGAGGGAACCCCGTCACCTTTCAACTTGGGGGTCTAGTATTGGAAAGAGAGCCCTTAGGAGCAGGGGCAGCTGTGGCTAAAGGGGAAACGGGCCTGAGGGAGCAAGCGGAGAGAGGGCGGCTTTGGGAGGCTGGAGGGAGAGCTCACAAACTGACCTCTAGGTGGCACCACACACAATGCAGCCCAACTAGGCTGTGGTAGATCCGGATCTTCTTCTGGCAGCGGTCGCATCGCCCAGACTCACAGCCTCCTCGCACCCACACATGTGATTGGACCTTGCGGAGAAAGGCAATCCTCTGTCTGAGAGGGTCTGAGCAGGGCCTGGGGGAAGGGCTGAGGGGAGCAACGGGCTAAGAATCAGGGTCAGGATGCAGGTGGTGATGGTGTGGGCATGGAGTCACTCACACCAATGTCCTTCCGAGACTTGGCATAGGTGCTGACTTCACAAGGCAGGGCTTTCATGGCACAATGGTCGTGAACGATGTACTTACAGACTGGGCGAGAGGGGAGAAAGTCAGAGCCTTAGCTGCAGCCCCTCCTCCCATTTCCTCCTTAACTGGGGGTGAGGTGGAATCACTCACTGAAACAAGACATCTAAACCCTTGCTGTGAGGGTGGGTAGAGAATTGCAGTTTGGGGTTGGGGCTCACCTCCAAGACCTGTGCCTCTTGCTCTCTTCCCCCTAAAAGAGCAATTGCTACCACACGTCCACCCCCTACTCCATCCATGTGCCAGGAACTGAGCTGGATGATGCAAAGGAGGCCCAGATATAACAATAATAATAAAAGAATAGCTAATTTTTATTGCAGATGTAATAGTATGTACATGCACCGTGTGAAGCACTTGTCTTGCATCGACTTATTTAACACTCACAATTACCTCACTTTCAGTTGAGGAAACTAAGGCATAAAGAAGTCATGTGGCTTTCCCAAGGTCATATAACTAGTCAGTGGCAGAGCCCAGGATTCAAACCCAGGTCCCTCTAAGTTCAGAGCACCGTGCTCCTGCAGACAGCTGGGCTGCCCCTCTGCTCCCACACTCCCAGGCCCCATCACTCACGGTTACAGCTCAGGCCCTGTTTGCCAAGACCAATGCTTGACTCGCACAGGTTGCAGTAGACTGGTCGGGGGAACCTCTTGGGTCTCCACATGTGCTGCCCATTGTCCTTCAGAGTCTGGGAGGGCACAGCAGATTCTAGGGAGTGTCTAAGCCCTTAGAGGGCCAACCTCTGACAAGCACAACCCATGGCTGCTGTCTTACCCGTCCTCACAAGTCTCTCCTACTCACCATCTCCAAACCCAGCAGTACCAGCAGTGGCACAGTGGTGGCCCCAGCCCGGAGCCACTCAGCTAGGGAGACAGAGCCGCTGCCATCATAGTCAATCTCTTTCATCATCTCCTGAAGAATCTGAGCAGAGAATGGGGGGGGGGGGTACTTTTGGTGTGAGTGGCTCCTCAGATCTGACACCTCTCCAAGGCCCCTAGGATACCCAGCCCAGCCATCCTAGCCAAGGGAACCAGGCCGCCTGTCAGATACGGCATAAGGGAGACACATGATTCACCAGGGCGAAGGGACAAGAAGAGAAATGGAGGAAGAACTGCCTTACCGGCCTCAGCTCAGACACGTCCCAATCCAGATATTCGGCCACTCGCATCATCTGTATGATGATTTTGTCCACTTCCTGGGGGCCAAGCGAGTAAGAGCCACAGCCATATCCCACCTCACTACCACCATCCAAACTCTTCTCTAGAAATCAGAGTTCTTGGGTTCCACCCCCAGACCCACCTCTCATTCTCAGGTGTCTCTGCCAAGTAAACAATTGTCTATGTGTGTTCGGATGTTTGCAAGGCAGCCCCCAATTCATGTCTCCAGCCTCCTCTTTTAGGGATCAAGAACTTGGAACCTATTCCCAAATTTAGTCCTAGAGGACTCAGTTTCTCCCTCTAGCTTCCTCTGCTTCTTAAGATCCTGGAGAGTTGGGACAGGAGGGCACAGACAAATAGACACAGACTCCCTTGCCCAGCATACAGGTTCCCCAACTCACTGAGCTGTCCAGGATCCCATTTCTGTCCGTGTCGTACAGCTTGAAGGTGACTGTGGGGTGTTTTAGGGGGGTCCAGGGTCAGTTTTTGAGGGATACCCAAAGAATTCATAACAGAATACAGGGGAAACAAAGAGAGAGGGAGAGACCTTTTGGTTGAAGAGCCCAGAGCTTGGGGCTGGGACTGAGAAAGGAGACAAAAAGAGAAGGGATACAGGCTTGGATTCCACCCCTAGTGAGCCTGACAGGGGAGAGAGTTCACACCCCCTGCATCCCAACAACACCCCAGGCCACCCACAGAAAATGCATTAGGCATAGGAGTCTGGGTAACAGAGGAAATGGGCCCATTCTCTGGCCCCACCTTTGTCTGGCCCTGTCAGCCTTTAGGAATCCTGAAAAAATGAGGGAAGGAGGGCTGGGGAACACCCTCTCTCCCATCACCTTTCCTCCCCTCTCCCAATCCAGAATGGCAACTCACATTCTAGCTTATCTTCTGGACGGCCACCCTCCAAAAGGGAAAAGTAGCAGGAGACATCACTGAGACATACCAGATCTGGTTACAAAAAGAGCAGCAGATCTGAGGGTGGGGCTCCCTCCACTCTGGCTCTTCTCTTTTCCTTGGTTCCAGCTCTTCCCTTTAACTTTCCTCCCTCCAGCCCCCACACCAACCTGGCCACCCTCCACCTCTCTCCCCCAGCCCTGCTCCCAACATGTGACTCAATTCAACTTTCACCCCCCAAACCCGCATTAATTTGACTTTTCTTCTGGAGGCCCAGCTCAGTCCCACCTACTTGACCATACCTTTTTTCACAGTCTCTTCTAAGCAGTGATCAGTCTGGAAGGATTGAAACAGTGCCAGGCTTAGGTGACTGGGAACATTATCTGCTTCCAGATAGATTTTCAGGAATTGCTGGAATCCCTCATACCCAATGGCCTATGATGAGAACAAGCATTACCCTGGGGAGCCTGCAGGATGAGAGCCGGGGACTGAAGAATTGGGTGGGGACAGAGACAATAAGTAGAGAGCTGAGAAGCATCCAAGGCAGGAGTATGGTTTCTTGGGCTGAGGAGTTAATGTGATCTCTTGCTTTGCCCTAAAGCAACAGCTGTGGTAACAATGGGTGCAGGGGTATCTAGAGGGAAGATAGCAAGGGCCCAGAATAATCCCTGGAAGTTGGGATCCCAATGGAGTAGCAAAAACAAAGATAGGAAGAGTTAGTCAAGGAGAAGATTTCCCAGCTGCCACTCACATCTCCTTGGACATATTCAGCCATTTCACCATCCTCAAAGAGCTTTAGGACATCACTGACCTTTTTGGTGGAGTCTAGCATGTGAAGAGAGTGAAAGAGCATTAGTCTGGTTTGGCTTTCCCTGTCTTCTACCAGAGTCCCACCCAGACATCCAAGAGGAAAAAAGAGTCAAGTGAGATGAATAAAGAAGAAATTCCAAGAAGAAACACAGAAATACAGAGAGAAAACATTTCAGATCCTCCAAAGTGGTACCCCTTCTAGCATCTCTCCTCTGAGACTTGGAACAGGCAGTCAAGGTTGAGAGAAGGTGGCTAGTGACTTGAGACCACAGGCACCTCCCAAACTCCCTCTCTTCCCTTTCCCAGTCATAGACAAATCTCAGCAGCTGCCTGGCTGAAGGCCACTGGGAAAATTGGAGGAGTTGGGGGGAATGAGGAAGTGGAGGGATTCTCTGGGTAAGGTCGCCAGAACTGAAGGATTGAGAGGAAGACTCACATTCCATGTATTTTTGCAGCTGGGCAAAATCATTGGGGCTTATTAGGCCCCTCTCCTTGGCCATCTTTCTCTTTTCCTTAAGGATGGCCACAAAGGCAGCTTGGTAGTAGTACTTCTGGCGCCTGGACCTCCACTTCCAAGGTAAGATCTGGAGGAGGATGACAAGAGCATGTGGCAGGAAGAGCCAGCTGTCTGGTCTCTTTACTTCTGTCTGCCACCTCCATCCACCACTTCCACTATGATTTCTGTTCTTTCCTCCTCTGAGTCCCTCCTGCAGTCCCTTCATTTCCCTGTGTTCTCCTCCTCTGTGTGTCTCTCTCTCCCTGACAGAGTCGGCCCTGTGTCTCTGTTTCTCTGACTCATCTCTGACTTTTTCTCCTCCATTTCTGGATCCTTCTCCAGCTCTCTGATTTCTCCCCTAATCTGTCTCGATTCGTCTCTGACCGACCTCACCTCTTCGCCCCCAACCCCCCGTTTCCAGTCTATATGTGTCTCTGTGAGCGTGTCCCCCTTGGCGGTTTCTACCTCTTCTCCCGCCACCCCCAATCTCTGCAGTTTCTCCGGGACTTGCAGTCTCTCTCATCTCGGCTCCCGCAGTCCCGACCCGCCCCGTGGTTCTCACTGCGTCGGTGGCACGCCTTCCGAGCCACAACCCCATCTTGCTCCGCCTCCAGCCTCGGTCCCCAGCTCCGCTCAGCCATCCACTCCCCGAACCACCCACGTCCCGCAACGACCTCTAGCGCTTCTGACGCGCGACACAGAACCAGCTCTGGCCCGGTCCCCAGCCCCGGCCCCGCCTTGCCTGCGTCCCGCGGAGCTCTACTGGGGAAGGGCGGGGACCCAGGCGTGCGAGATAGGGGAAGAAGGCTCCGAGCATCGGCCTGGCTTCCCAGTTCCAGGAGGACTGAGCTGATTGCGGGAGTCTCGGATGCGGGGCTCTTCCTTCTAGCCTGCTAGGTTAGTAGTGTTTAGGGAGCTCCAGCTTTTGGCTCTGGGACTCAGGGACCAGAGAGGAGCCATCACGTGGATCATGCTGACCTCTGGCCCAGGGGCCAAGTTACAGAGGGCAAGTTGCCTTGAGGATTCAATAACAGCAGTAACACTATCTCTCATTAGAGTACAGCACTGATATGAGTCAAACAGCTAGAGTTAGTCTTGTCCAGGTTCCATTCTTAGCTCTATCACCGTGTTATGTGGGCAAATTACAATCTGTGAAATGGGGAGAATGATACCTATCTTTCATAGTTGTGAGGATTAAGTCAAATAATTAATAAAAAGTACCCAGTACAGAACTTGACATATAGAAGGCCTACAAGAAATGGTAGTTATTACTGTATTAACAATTAAAATCGGATCCAGTGAGATAGGAAGTTATTGCTATAGCCATTCTACAGGTGAAGAAACTGGAGCTCAAAGGGGTTGGGATTTCTAAGGCAGGTGATAAGTGGAGGAGCCCACGCTCTAACCCAAGAACCCTGTGGTGGGGACCCTGCTTGTCTCTCTGCCCTCCTCTTTTTCCACTTGGTCCTTCACACACTGCCTCCTAGTCCACTGCCTTCCTTTCTGTTCCTTGAGCACGCCAAGTTCTCCCCTGTTCAGGGCCATGAGACTTACTGTTCTGTCAGCCTGGAGCAGCCCTCCCCGCTCTTGGCAGAGCTGACTTCTTGCCCAAGCTGAAATGTCAGCTCCTCCAAGACACCGTCCCTCATCATTCGGTCCTAAGTAGCCCCGCTCCTTTGCACAGCACCCTCCTTCGTTTCCTTCACAAAACGTATCACAAGTGGAAATTATCTTGTTAATTTATTTGCTGCTTTGTGTTCTGTTTGTCTTCTACCAAAATGTAAGTTCCACAAGGGCAGGAAGTTGTCGGTCTTGTTCCCCACTGTATCCCCAATACCTGAAACAGTGCCCAGCGTGTTGTAATTGCTCCATATTGGTTGTACAAATAGTTGTGTAAAGTTAGGGAGTCATATTTTATCCAAACACAGTTAAATGAAATGCCAGAGTGTCCATCCTGACAGTCAGGGGAATATGAGACAATTTGCAGCATGTATAGTAGGTGCTAAATAAATATTTGTTAAATGAAGGAATGATGCTAGAAAGTACTTATTATGCTACTCCATGCAAGGCTCTCACCTTCTGCCTCCCCCTGCCAACACTTATTCAGGGCTTGTTGGGTCAGGCTCAAGGAGGCAATTAAGGCCTACAAGAACTTCCTTTCTGATGGTGCAAGAACCTTCTCTGTAGCCTCTGCCCTTGAGACACCTGTGCTGCCCACCTCTATGTAGCATACCATTCCTGTTCTGGGGGCTCTCTGGAAACACTTAGAAGGGGGTTCTGGGACACTGATATTCTAGAGAAAGGACTGTACCCATCTAGCCCTTTTCAATGACTATAATCCAACTTCTACTGCCAACAAATCTAATGAATACAAAATAGTTTTATGGTTAATGGGGCCTGTATGGCTTAATTAGCCTTTCTCATTACTCCTGGGGATTCTTAGATGACTCCAAGGCTCTAGGAAATGGAATCTGAGAGAGAAAGTGACAGGGAGAGAGTAAACAAGGGATGACAAACAGGAGAGAGGACATGATACTTCTCTCTCACCTCTCTTTTCACAGAGACCCTTCTAGCCCCCGGGGTTTTTTTTTGTTTTTGTTTTTGTTTTTTGAGGAAGATTAGCCCTGAGCTAACATCTGCTGCCAATCCTCCTCTTTTTGCTGAGGAAGACTGGCCCTGAGCTAACATCCATGCCCATCTTCCTCTACTTTCTATGTGGGACGCCCGCCACAGCATGGCTTGCCAAGCGGTGCCATGTCCGCACCCGGGATCTGAACCGGTGAACCCTGGGCCACCGGAGCAGAACTCTGAACTTAACCACTGTGCCACCAGGCCAGCCCCGCCCCCCCAGGGCTTATATGTAGAGGTTAGGAGAATGGACTTTTGCATTATCTAGGCAAGGACTAGAATCTTAGCTCTTGGGGAGTTATTTCATCTCCCTCAACCTGTTTCCTCATTGGTAAAATGGGTACCTAGAGAAATCAGTCACAATGTAGGGACTAAATAAAATAATACATGCAATATACTGAGCATATTGCATGGCACAGAGGAAGAACTCAATAAATGTTAGCTATTATTATTATTATGATTTATAGCACAAGGGTGGTACCTAGAGAAACACATCTGGAGATTAGGAAAAATGATGTCTTTGACCCAGGAAGGCATAAATTCTAGGGACTTCCAGTAGCAACGAAGCCCAGTTGTACACCTTTCCTTCCTGTGTCATATCTCAGGTACAGACGTGAAGTATCAGGATCCTGTACTTTGCCTCTGGGAGGGTAAGGCGGTGGTTATAAACTAGTCTGTTGGGGTCCAAGGACACCCCTGGCATGGTACTTTGGATATAAGGGCTCCTGGGATCTTTTCAGGTTCCTCTCGACTTTTCTCACCAAAAGTTTGGCTGCCCCTGCTGCTGAGAGGCAGCAAACTGCCAGATCCTGGGGCCTTAAAGACCTGGAACAAGTCCAATTTTGTCCTCCAGCTCCATCCCAACCCTGAGGCTATAACCTGGGCTAGTCCTTGCAAATGCCAGGGCTGGGAGGGTGGGGTCTGGAGCCCTCTTGCCAGCTATTTGTGACTCACCCATCCCTTCCCTCCTCTGGTTTCCCTGATTGCCCCTACCACCTTGGGGTAAGAAAGGAAGAAGTTGACTTGGAGGTAGAGACTCCCAGAACATCCTCAGAGCTGGGAGACACCAACTCTCATATTTTACAGAGGAAAACTGAGGCTCAGAGAGCAAGTGAGTCTCTCAGGGTCATACCCAGACTCTAGATATCTTGTCCTTAGTCTGTTCCACTAACACTTAACCAGTGCCTCTGGTTTTCTAGATCTTTTTTTTTTTTAAGATTGGCACCTGAGCTAACAACTGTTGCCAATCTTTTTTTTCCTTCTTTTTCTCCCCACATCCCCCCAGTCCATAGTCGCATATTCTAGCTGTGGGTCCTTATAGTTGTGGCATGTGGACGCTGCCTCAGCATGGCCTGATGAGCGGTGCCATGTCCGTGCCCGGGATCCGAACCAGCGAGACCCCGGTCCACCGAAGCAGGGCGCGCGAACTTAACCACTAGGCCACCGGGCCGGCCCTTCTAGATCTTATTTTCAACATTAAACACTAAAATTGCTGCTAACTGAGAGATAAATATGATTTCCAAAGCCAGTGCTAACATTTAAGATTTCCTTTTGCACGTCAACATTCATTGCTCACATTCCAAGTCTTGTAAATTTACAATTACTCAAGAATCAGCTATGCCCCCGAACATTCAGGCTGACCCAGCCAGGAACCCCAAAAGACAGGCACTCCCCTTTGAGGACCCAGGCCTGCTTACCTGGACTTGTGAATCCCTTAACCACACCAGGGCCTGCATCCTCCTCCTCTTTTCCAGGAGTGAGGGAAGTTCTATTCTTCCTGCCCATCCCTGTTACTAGTAAGTCAGTGGTCCCTGAGAGGGAATCCTTTGGCTTAAAGCCTCAAATTTCCTTCAGCCTCCACAAACATCACAGATGATAGTGTTGCCTGATTAAGGGAGTGGTGTTTGTGTGTGTGTGTGTGGGAGGGGGGTCATTGTGTAGTACAGGAGGAAGTTACAGTCTTGGCATGGTTGGGGGACGTGGGCTCACACATTTGGAGGCTAGGGAGATGCCCAATAATATTTGCATTTCCTCCTCAGTAAAGCTCCTTTCCCCCATTTAAAGGGGAAAAGTGGGATTTAGACCCAGGTAGTTTCAGAAACTTTCCGGTGACAGGTGTGGAAAGAATAGGGGTGGGAAGTTGGTGACCAAGAGGCCCAACCACAACCCTTCTCCACCCGTGCAGCACTGTAGAGGTTCCACAACCGACTTTCCTCCTACTCAGGTCCCTAGCAGCTGAGCCGCACCATCCCTCCGAGTGAGCAGAGGGATGGAGGGGAAGGTCCGGGGACACGCTGCCTGCGGGGCGCCGGCCCAGCCCTCCGCTGCCCGCCGCGTCCTGGCGCAAACCCTTCAGGCTACCCGCTCCAGCTGTCATGCTTCCTCCTTCTCCGCCCCGCAGCCCTACCCCAGCCCGTGGGGCGTCCCCTCCCGCGTCCCCGCCCCACCTGCACCGGATGGGAGGGCGAGAGGCGCGGGGGGCTCCCGGGGTCTCTACCTTGCCTGCGGAGGGCGCGCGGTCGGAGCTGCGGTGCCGGCGCGGGAGCTGGAGCGCGAGCTGGGCTGGGGGGACGGGCCAGGCAGACGAGGCCGCCGGAGCCGCCCCGCTCCTGACGACACAGCTGCCCGCCCCCGACCCGGCCCGCCCGCCCGCCCGCCCGCGCGTCCGCGCCCTGCGCCCCCAACTCCAGGAACTCCAGTCTGGAGAGGCCCCGTTTCCAGTTCAGCCAACCTCACTCCCCCTGCCCCCGAGTATCTTCAGGGCTCTGGTCTGTGCCACTTTCTCCACATCCTGGCTTCTCATCTTTTTCCCTCCCTAGGGACAGCTCTATCTGTCTTCCCCTCTTTTTAATCACTCAGCGCCTCTCCCCTCATCTCAACCCTCGGGGACCAACATAGGGGGCGGGGTTCCTGACGGGACAGCTTGGCGGATGCCCACCCAGACAACTTCTCACCCTCCCCTAATTGCTGCCATCTGGGGACTGCCCTTCCCAACCCCTTTCCAACCAGCATGGACTGAATTCATACTCGGGAAATCCCACAGCAACAAGGCCAGAGTTCCAGATTCCACATCCTGAGACCCAAATACCTCCCTCCCGCCGTGGACCCCACGCTGCTTGAGGCCACTTGAGAGAATCTGGCCACCTTCACCTCCAGGTTCTTCACATCCGAAAACCCAAACGCCACATGTCTCAGGATTGTTTCCCCAGTCTAAAGACACCTCCTTCTCTCAAGACTCAGGTCCTTCCCAGAATTCTAGGGTGGAGGTTTAGGTACAAAGAGCACTCTGGTCTGTGTCCACCCTTTCTCCACCCCCTAACCCTCCCACTTTACCTGCTGGCCTTGGCAGGTGGCGTAGAAGGCCCTGGTCAAAAGTAGAGGTGAAAGGAAATCCTTTCAGCTTCTCCTGTTTGGAATCTGTTCTGGAGTTGTTAAGGCTCTTGGGGCAGCGTGGATGGTGGTGAGGCTGGTAGAGCAAGGGAGAGAGACAGAGGCCTAGGGACTTACTGGTAGGAACTGGGTACCTAGGCATCCTGCTCCCTGGCCCCGCCCCAAGCCCCGGTCTCACCCCCTCCTACCCTTCATTGAAATAGGGCACAGCAACAAAGGCTTGAGTTCCTGGAATCTTCCCTCTTACACCTGGTGGTGGAGGAGGGCGGGCGGGGAGAGCCCTGACTGGCAGCTTGTATGTATGTGTTGTTTTTGCTGTGTGTGTATGTACACACATACATATACACACATAATATATACATTTGGTGGGGGTTGGGGAGAAGCCATGAATACATGAGGCCCCCTAGTGGAAACAGAGGGGTCTAAGCAGTTCTTGATTGTTTCAAGACAGGCTTGTGCAAAGAGACTCCTCCATTTTTGTCAGAAATAGAGTGGCTGAGTAATAGGGTTTGGGAGTACTGTTGTTGCATCTGAAATGGAGACCTGAGGCAGGGGTTGGAAAGGGTCTGTCTCTCTGCTCCTTTCTCCTCTCCAATCTTAAAAAGACAAGGGCCTTGCCACTCCCCATCCTTCATCTCCCCTTCCTATATGACCTCCTTAGTCATAAGGAATCATAAGCACTTTTGAAGGCCTGTTATGCTCCAGGTCCTGCACTTAGTTCTGCAGGACTGCCAAAGACACAGCCCGGCTTAGGGCTGCACCAAAGAGTGGCTTGGTGTGTGTGTGTGTGTAAAGCCTCCCCACTCTAAGCCATCCTAAACAAACATACAATATAAGTAAGAACAAGCCCCTTAGCCCCTCTTCCAATCAGTTTTCTGCCCCTGAATCCCTCATCTAGAAATCCTGCAATGATACTAATCCTTAAGACACTCAGCTTTCTTTGCAAATGATATAGTGATACCACCCTTTCTATGACCTTTCTCACTTCATCATCCTCAGATATGTCCCTACACGAAGTTAAAGATGCTCCTTTTAAGTCTTTGTGTGTGTGTGTGAGAAAGATTGTCCCTGAGCTAACATCTGTGCCAATCTTCCTCTATTTTGCATGTGGGAGGCTGCCACAGCATGGCTTGATGAGCGGTGCATAGGTCAGCGTGCAGGGGATCCAAACCCACCAACTCCCAACCATCCAAGCTGAGTGCGCAAACTTAACCACTCCACCACCATGCCGGCCCCTTAAGTCATTTTTTGAGACTTCAAAGTGGGGCATGAGGTGATCTCTCTAATAAGGAATAAGAAGGAATCCATCATGCTCTAGGCTTCTTTGTGTCTTTTTTAGGAACTGTGCTCCATCATACCCCAAGTCAGTTATTGGTGGGGGTGGGGGAAAGAAAGGCCAAGAAACATCTAAGGAGGAGGCGCCTAATGCCTGCAGTTCCAGGTGCTCATTTCTTTAATCAACCACATCATAAAAGTCAGAAAGAAAGAAACCGCAGTGAACAAAGGGAAAGGAAAAAACAACAGCCTTGTTCTCCCCAGCCTCTTCTTTCCTCTCTTCCTCCTCAGGGTGGGGGGCCACATCCGGGGCCCAGGGCTGGGTCTCAGGCAGGTCTGCTAGGCAGACAATTGAGTTTCACTTCCTGTCAACCCCAGAGCTGAGGCAGGATGTCTAGGGGCATAGTAGGGGGGCTCCTAGGGTTGAGTAGTCAACAAGGACCACTTAGGATTCCCTCTAGCAGAAAGGCCCATTGAGCAGCCCACTAGTACTAGTACTCCTCGGGCAGTACAGTCAAGACCAAGGCATCCCTCTAGTTTTTAGAGGCTTCATCCCGCACTCTCACCTCTAATCATTAGTAACAAGGCTAAGAACAGGATGCTAGACCAGGCAGGGCTGAAGCACAACTGGTGAAAGAGCAGAGGGCTTAAGGATGGCAGCGTTGGAACACTTGCAATAACTGGGTATTGAGTGCAAACCAGTTTTTAAATGAGTCTTTTTTTGAGACCTTCTGGACTGGGCCTCTACTGGAAGTCAAGAAGGTGGAGCTTGGGAAGGAAGGCAAGCTATGACCGGAGAAAACGTCCGAAGCTTCATTTCAAAGCTTTAGGAAGTTCCTAGGCAGCCATTGCCCTGTTTTTTGTTTTTTTTAAGTGAGGTATGCAGCTGGTCTTGAAGGTGGTCGCAGATATTCCCCTCCTCCCTCCTCCCTGGTTCCAGCGGTACTGTTGGACGTTAACCTAAGCCAAAGTCGGGGATTTGGAGCAGGAAAAAGCAACAAGATGGGGATGGGGGAGGGCAGAGCGGACACCTGAGGAGAGAAGCCTGTAGCCGGCCCCTCCCAGGCTGCAGGGGAAACAAGTTTAGCAGGACTTAGCCCTGAAGGAACAACGGCTGCTGAAAAAAGCGGGGGAGGGAGAATTCTCACTTGGGTTCATCTAAATAGGGAGGCTGGGGCAGGGCACGACTGCAAAGCCAGTGACCGAACGGGCCCGGATTATTGGCGAGTTGCCCCATTTCCAATGCCCAGCGCCCAGAAACTTGGACGAGGTCAGTTAGAACACTAACAAGGTCCGCCCAGAAGCCTTCACCCTACCCTCTGACCCCGGGGCCCAGTGTCGAAGGCCAGCGCAAACTTGGGCCGCCGTCACTTCGCTTCGAATCCCTGGGGCCGCCCCAGGGGCAGGGCCAGGCCAGGGCTGCCCGCCCCACCCGGCCGGCCGCCTCCCGGGCCGTGGAAGCTGCTGGCAACCCCAAGGCTGCGGGGACAGGTGACTGGCCGGCAGCGCCCCCTGCCTTGCACGCCCCTCTCGCGGGTCTCCGGAGGGTTGAGCTGGTGGTCGAGGGCAATCGGCAGGCTACTTCGACCTCCCCACTTTCTAAGAGAGGGTTAGTTGGGGTCTTCAATTCGCCCCCAACCACATCGGTGCGCCCCAGTGCGTTCCCGGAGTTTGCCCGCCCCTCCCCATGTCCCCTAGCCGCTCTGGGACCTGGGTGCAGGCCAGCCCCTAAATATTCTTCCTTTCCTCATCTATCAGCCCCCCTTTCCGGGTGCAGACAGGGCCTTGCCCCCTTTTCCCTCGCAGGTCCTGGATGGATGAAGAATGCCTGTGAGGAGAGGGTCTGTGCCTCGGAACTTCTCTCAGCACCAAAGGACTGCTTTACACGCAGCAGGCGCTCAATAATGGTAACAGTGGCAGTAAAAGAGCCCAGAGCTTTTATTTTATTAAAGTCTTCAGCTTCTCCTTTCCTCCTCCACCTCCGTCCATGAAATGGTGTACTCTCCCTTTAAGACTAAAATGGTGGCCTGCTACGATCTGGACTCCACTTCCGGTGGGGAGGGGGGCGGGACCCCAGCCCGCTCACGCCGGAAGTGGTTTGCGTTTTCAAGATGGCGACTCCCTATGTAACTGACGAGACCGGCGGTGAGTGCGGGAGGCGCGGAGCCGCTTCTCCCCGGGCTCTCGGGGCAGGGGTTCGGACTTGGAAAGGGGTCTGTGCCCCGCCCATCCCGGGGCCCCTCCTTTGCCCCGCCCTCCGGACCGCCTTCCCCATTCATTCTCTCCTACGGGGTGTCACCTGCGCCCCCTTCTGGTCTCATGTTTGGGGGTCTCTGCTTCCGGTCACCCAAACCCTGGGGTCCTTCAACGCTGGTCCCTGCTCCAGGACCCTCACGGGCTTTTAGCTTTTCTCCAGCAGTTGGAGCTCCCATATCTCTTTTGGGTTCTCCAGCCTTGGGGGCTCCTACACTCAGTTCTCTCCAATTCCTGCTCTCCCACTCTTCCCCTCCCCCTTCTCTTGGCTATCCCTGCTTTTTACCCTTCCCCAGCCCCGTCTTAATTCTTTTTCTCGAAGCTGTATCTGTTGAAGACATCCTCATTGCTACATAGTGATTTTTTCCACTCTCTCCCTCATCTTCGTGGTTGGGTCGCTGAGGTCTAGAGGTGTGAAGAGAACAGAAGCCTAATGTAACTTTTCAGCTTGAGTTTTCTCCTTGATGACACCAGCCGCGCCTCTACCTTCTCTGGTGATGATGATAGGAGTTGAGGAATCTAAGGTGGAAGAAACCAAACAGGAAGATGTCTAGTGGCCTCTGAAGCCCTCTGACAAGTTGATAGAACCCACTGTTCCTTCTGGCTAGAGAAGAATTTCCAGCCTGACTGATTAAGATGCTGAAGTGTCAGCTGTGTATGTGAGGTTTATGTGTTGAAAACAGAGAATTAAGATTTTCATTGTGGTTTTGTCCCATCCTAATTTCTCATTTTTAGAAAAATGTGCATAGTAATGTCTACCCAGTGACAATCAAATAAGATAGTATATATGAAAGCAATTTATAAAATGCTGTGCAAGGCAAGGTGTTAACAGTTTTTTGTAGCCCTCATTGTGTATGTGTAGTCTTCTGTAGAAGTGACATTGTGCGTGTGCTGTGGTACATACAGTCTGTTTTAAAATGTGCCATTTATGCTTCTTGCTTTGCTGCTTTCCGTGTTCCTTACTTCTCAACCTATCTCTCCTGTGGGGTCTAATGACAAGCCAGGTCTCTGCTATTTCTCCCCAACCTTACATTTCAAAGTGGTACAACCTCTTCTCCTGCTCTCTACTTCTTCAACTAGCTCCTTTTAATGTGTACTTTGAAAATATGACTCATTGTCCAGTATACTTCTCTTTATTCTTAACTGTTTTTCTTTAAAGTGATTTAATGAAAATCCAGGTATCACATCTCATCATCACTCCCACCAAGACATATCTTCTGTTCTCTGTGACTATGTGGAAGAGGAGAAGGAATCATACTGCTTTTTTGCTCTCCTTTACTACTTCCAGATCATTGATCTACCACTGTCACTCTAATTCTGGTGGAAGGTATTGGCATGCAATTACAGCATTTTCTCTAAAACCTCAGGGCCATCATCTACTGCCCACAAGGATCCAGACCTATCACATCATATTTTTTTCTCCACTCCCTTTCTTCTTCTCATTCTCAGTGTCTCCAGCATTTTTGAAGTACTCTGATGTTACAGTTCCTCAGCATGGGACCATTGACTTTCCTTTGTATTTTCAAATCAGCTACGCATCAGAATCACTACTACCTGGACCTCACCTATGACGCTGCTTCCCCTTCAGGGGCTCGCTATTACATACTTTAGCTTCCTTACCAGTCACCTTTTTCACTACCTCACATTCACAGAATCAGCTTTTGCCCTCTTTAGGTTCTCTAATTCTTGACCTTTCCCATTTCCTTGAGTCTACCAGTACCTTCGTGATTACCTTTGATGCTGCCCTGCTAGACCTCCATGACCAGCCACTTTGATACTATCCTCATTGCTTTTTTCATTCATTTTGTTCTTCTATGTTAAGCAAGGACTTCTGTTACCTTGAATCACACCCATCAACTGTTTTCTTGGCTTCTGCTTCTAGGCTACAGCACATGGCAGGAGAAAAAGCACAGAAGCTAGCACATTCAGTATAACTTAATGTTAACTTATGCCAAGATCATGGCTTCTCTCCAGTTCTTTTTTCTTGATTTGCTTACATTCTCTCATGGCTATTTCCCCCACCTTTTCCAGCTCTCTCTGACCCTCTCTTTTAATTCTCCCTCATGGCCGATGAATTCACTGTCTAATTCATTGAAAAATCAAGACCTATCACTTCTGTTTCTTTCCTGTTCACAGGCTGATTTCTTGAATATCAGGTCTATACATACTATTTCCATTTCCTCGCTGCTTATTTGTTCCTTAACTTTTTACAGCCTTTATTTCTAGCACCAGCCTCTCTCCTGAGTTGCCAATTCCTTTTTCTAATTGTTTGGTGAATGGCTTTCATTCTTGGCTATAGTGTCACACCTCAAATTGTCTGACCAATATCTATATCGGTTTTTCCTTCCTTGTTTCCGTTAAAGGCAACGTTGTACTAGCCAACTCAAGATCAACTTTTTGCATCATTTCTCTCTCTGTTTTAAGTAGACTTTATTTTTTAGAACAGTTTTAGATTTATAGAAAAATTGAGAACACAATACAAGCAATTTCCATATACCTTACACTCAGTTTCCCCTGTTATTAACATCTTCCACAGGGCCAGCCTGGTGGCACAGTGGTTAAGTTCGCAAGTTCCACTTTGGCGGCCCAGGGTTTGCCAGTTTGGATCCCAGGGGTGGTCCTATGCACCACTTGTCAAGCCATGCTGTGGCAGGCGTCCCACATAAAATAGAGGAAGATGGACACGGATGTTAGCTCAGGGCCAGTCTTCCTCAACAAAAAGAGGAGGATTGGTGGCAGATGTTAGCTCAGGGCTAATTTTCCTCAAGAAAAAAAAAGTCTTACACTAGTTTGGTACTGTTATTGCAATTAATGAAGCAATATTGATACGTTATTATTAACTAAAATCCATACATTATTCAGATTTCCTTAGTTTTTACCTAATTTTTTTCTACTTTAGGATCTCATCCAGGATACCACATTGCATTTACTTCTTGTGTCTCCTTAAGCTCCTATTGGCTGTGATAGTTTCTTAGACTTTCCTTGTTTTTGAAGATCTTGACAGTTTTAAGGAATACTGTTCAGGATGTAGGATGTCCCTCTATTAGAATTTTTCCGATGTTTTTCTCACGATTAGATTGGAGTCATCTGTTTTTGAGGGGATGACCATAGAGGTAAAGTGACATTTTCATAGTATCATATCAAGGGTACATAGTACTGCAATGATTTTCTTTTTTAAGATTTAAAAAATTTTTCCTTCTTCTCCCCAAAGCCCCCCAGTACATAGTTGTATATTTTAGTTGTGAGTCCTTCCAGTTGTGGCATGCGGGATGCTGCCTCAGCATGACTCAATGAGTGATGCCGTGTCCGCACCCAGGATCCAAGCCGGCGAAACCCTGTGCCACTAAAGCAGAGTGTATGAACTTAACCATTTGGCCACAGGGCTGACCCCTCGCAATGGTTTTTTTACTGTTGATGTTGACCATTATCACCTGACTGAAGTAGTGTTTGTAAGGTTTCTCCACTGTAAAGTTATTCTCTCCATACTGTACTCCTTTCTATACTATACTCTTTAGACGAAAATTACTAGTCACAGCCCACACCTAAAGAGTGGGGAGTTATGCTCCCTTAAGGACGGAGTATTTACATACAGTGTTTGGAATTATTCTGCACAGGATGTTTCTCTTCTCTCCCATTTATTTATTCAGTCATTAATTTATATCAGTGTGGACTTTCGGTTATAATCCAATACTATCTTATTTATTTTATTTTATTATTATTATTATTTTTTTGAGGAAGACTAGCCCTGAGCTAACTTCTGCCAATCCTCCTCTTTTTTTGCTGAGGAAGACTGGCCCTGAGCTAACATCTGTGCCCATCTTCCTGTATTTTCTATGTGGGACGTGTACCACAGCATGGCTTGCCAAGCGGTGCCATGTCCACACCCGGGATTCAAACCAGCAAACCCTGGGCCACTGAAGCAGAACATGCGCATTTAATCGCTGCACCACCAGGCCAGCCCCTATCTTATTTATTTTATTGCTCAAATGTTCCAGGTTTGGACATTGGGAGCTCTTTTAGTGGGCCCCATGTCCCTTTGACTGACTCCCATCAGTGTAGGTTTTTGTTTTTCAGTTCTTCCTTACTTTCTGGCACTAGAAGATGCTCCAAGCTTGTCTTGTATATTTCCTGTCTCAGTCCTAGAATTAGCCATTTCTCCAAGGAGCCCTTGGTTCCTTTTACTGGAGAATGGTATAGGAAACCAAGATCAGAGCATTAAGTGTTTTTGTTGCTATTGAAGTGTTGTTTTGTATCATCTTTTACTCCTTTCTTGCTCCCCATCTCACACACAAACCAGTTGTCAAAATATCGCTCTTTTATTTCTACTGCCATTACCCTTATCCTATCTTCAATACTTGTTAGCTATATGGCCTTGGGAATTTTAAGCCTTGGGAATCTAAGCCTTAGTTTTCTCATCAATGATGTAGAATAGTAACTCCCACAACATAGGATTATTGTGAGAATTAAAATTTAAATGATATAATGTACATGTCTGGCACATAGAAAGTACCCAAAAAATGGTTCTGTAATTATTAGTTAGGTAAGAATTATTGTATAGGTTAGAAGAGGTTATATATACAAGTATCAAGCATAGTACCTGGGTCATTCTAAGTGCCTGATAAAATTCCAGTTTCCTTTATCCTGCAGATATTGCTGTGAGCTCCTAAGTAGTTGTCCTATCTCCCATCTCTCTCTCTCTCTTCCAGTTCCTTTGACATATTGTTGCCAGATTACTGCTCCTGAAGTACAAATTTAGTTCTGTAATTTTTGTTCAATATATTTCATCCACCCAGAGTCCACTGTTAAATTTGGCATATATCCTTCTGGTCTTTATTTTTCTTGTGCATTTTTAAAACATTTTTGAATCACATGGTATATACATTTTTATATCTTACCTTTTCACTAAACCTTATAACATAAATTTTTTGCCTTGCTATTAAAAACTCTCTGTAAACATCTTTTAAAATACTGGCAGAGTGTTTTATTGTTTGGGCACGAATCTTCTCTCTTACTTTTCTTCTGTTTTTGGAGTTTTAGATTGTTTCCAGAATTTGTTATAAGAACTCTATGAATATTTTTGTGCAGTAAGTCTTTGCGTGAGTTTAGGGTTATTTTATTATTATTATTAGGATATAGGTTATTTAGGAAAGATTTCTCAGAAGTAGAATTAACTGGGTTGGATGATACAAACATTTATTTTTTATTAATTATAAAATTAATTCATCTTAATTGTGGAAAACTTGGAAAATATTTTCACAAGTAGTAGTAAAATATAGTAAGTAGTAAAATATAGTCACATGCATGTTTGGCAATTCCAGAATGCAGAGATAACTACAGTTATATTTCCTTTTAGTTTTTCTTTCTATGCGCATATATATCATATCTGTATTTAACAGAATCGGGATCAGACAGAATGGCTGTAGTTTCCAAAATATGATCCTCAGAACACTTGGTAGTCCTGTGAAATGTGCTACAAAATAAATAATGTAAAAATAAGGTTCCTGTGAATCTTATGGAAGTCGTGTTTTATATAACAAAAACTTTGGGAAATGCTGCTAAATGATGGGACTACCATATATCCCCTTGCTGTGTTAGCCAAATTGCTCTCAAGGGTTTTCCACCAACCACATATGAGTACGCTGGTTTCACCTCTTT